GCCTCGAGCTTTTGAGAAGTGTACGGCCCTGCGTCACCTCAACATGGAAAAGACAGAGTGTGACCCCGCCAACTCAAACAGATGCTTGCCTCCATGCTGTTTCCTGGAAGCAGGAATTGTTTCGCTCTCCCTGCCGCCAGATTTTAATTGGGTTGGGCCGGCAGCCTGTGCACGTTGCCAGCAGTTGCAGATCGTTGACCTGTCTCGAGCAGACATAGTTGAAATACTGGGCTCGACTTTTGCGCACTGCTCGCAATTACAGCAGCTCAGACTTTCTCGAAACTTGCGAATAATAGAACAAGAAGCTTTCTTCCAGTGCGCCTCACTGCAAGATGTCTGCACTCCACCATCCGTGCTTTACATAGCGAGGCGTGCTTTTGCAGGTTGCACGCAACTTCGCGCATTCTGCAAAACAGGGAAGAGCACGACTTGGAGAGGAACGTATGCCCGGATCAATGCCTTTGACAAATACGAGCAACTAGACAAGCCCACGTGGCTCCGCTTCTTGCCGCCAAATGCCAAAGACCAGTGGAGAGAAGATTTTACAGAAGCAGTACCCTAGGGCTCATGAATGCTCAGTCACATAGTGTCTGCGTAAAGGTTTCTTCTCCCACCTTTTGAGTGCTCGCCAGCCTTCGATGACCGAATAGAGTCACTATTGTGCCCTCATCACCTACGATTTTGTGAGCCCGCCGGGATGAGAGCCTTAGCTCCTTGTCCCTGGCAGGCGGGCGGTAGCAGAATGGTGATGGAAGGCGCCCAGGGAGAACCTTAGTTACTCATCTGCGGCGGCCGAACCATAGCCAATCTTGTACAAAGATGGCATAAGAACCATGCTAGGGTAGGTCTTCAGTTTCACCTGTCTCACACGGGCCTTGCGTGTAGTAGGATGGTGTCGTTGCATGTACACCACTTCAAGAATGCACCACCCCTTTTGGCACATGTGTGGGAGCCAAGGGGTGCGAATGAGACCTCCCGTGAGGGAGGGAGTATGGCGCCTTCGTCAGCAGTCCGTTCGTTGCACTGCCCCCACTGCCTGACCCATGAACTGCCTCTCACTTCGCGCGTGCAATCGGTTGTATAGGTTGTGCCACGAAGAGGGAATTTTCCTTGGCTTGCCTGGCTTTTGCAACTCCTGACACTCTTGGCAAGTGTCATTACTGCTGATCTTCAACCTTGGCCTTTTGCAGGAAGTCGCAATATTCCGAGTGCCACTCTCAGTGGTGGCTAGGGCGATCTTACCTTGATAACAGAAAGAGGCCACATTTGATTGGCCGCTCAGAGATTCCACCCACACTCAGATGCATTGGCATTTTCGTAGTGAATTCAGGCCCTTAGATAGTATGCAGCTACTCTTCTCACCTGTCTCACTCCCGTACAGAGGAAACACTACCTGTTTGATGGTGTTCTTGTTGTGGCCTGGTTGGTTTCTTTGGTTGTGGGGGTTTTGGTTTTTGTTGTTTTGGGGTGTTGGGTTTGGTTGCGTTCTGGTTCTTTTCTTTCATCATCACGTAGTGTTTCCTATCCTTCAATGATGACCTGGGCACACCGCCCACATGGCGTCCGCACTCGTGGAAAAAAAAGATTCAGAGCACACTCCCATCCATCAAAATCGCCATTTCAGCTGAGACTTGTCACGAAAACAGAGCTTCGATGCCACACCCTGAAACGCAAATCCCAATGGCACGGCCACATCCAACACCCCAAACAACTCTCCAAACGCTAATCCCAATCGAACTGCGCCGTAATCTGCGGATCTCACAAAACGCTGCGCCTGTACAGCGAAGTGCATCACGTTTCTTGCGCGACATGTCCGTGTCACGCAAATCACAATGGAACAGCGGCGCAAACGGACACGTGACACATCCATGCAAAGTCACTCGCAAAAGCTTCCCCCAATGCAAATTTGAGACGTGACGACGACGACGACGAGAGACGACGAGAGACAACGACAGACAACGACAGACGACAAGAGACGACGACGCGACGCAAGCCATGCAAACACAGGTCCAGACGCCCAACCAAACGGGAACCCTGCGCTGCGCATTCGGGAAATGGAGTGAGTGAGTGAGTGAGTGACTGAGTGAATGAGTGAGTGAGCGAGAGTGAGTGTGAGTGTGAGAGTGAGTCTGAGAGTGAGTGTGAGTGATTATGCTTTCTGCTGCACATTGAGGTTCACTGAATGCTGCGCCTGCCACGTTGCATTTTGGGCTTTGCTTGCGGTTGTCACGAAAAGTTGACTTGGGACCACCAAAGCAAGAGGTTTCCCTTGCGCGTGCCACGAAAAGTGACTGTGTCCGAAAATGCGCGCGGCGAAACAACGAGAGCGCAGTCGTGACAAGCGCCCGCTCCAGCCACCCAAATTTGCGAGTTTGCGCATTCGAAATGCACTTCGAGGACTTCAAGAGGCATGAATGCATTGTGAATAGCAGCGAATTAGCAGGACCCGACCGCGCGACACCTTGATGAGGCACAGGCCCTTTAACTCTCACCGTATGAACCCCATCTGTGGCAAAGCCAATAATATTTAGAACACGACGTTGGAGGTGTCTGTTTTCCCAGTGTTCCAGTCTTCTTACGAATTCACTGTCTATGCTGGAGGTATTCTTATTTAAGGACAAAATGTAGGAGGATACTGTCACATCACGCGCCACATCACAGTAGCAGACATCGCATAGACATCGCAATGTCGCCAGCGTCGCGGACATGGACCGCACAGAGTTTCCCAGAGGGGGGAGGGGTCGACCAAAAAAAATTGGTGGCCTTGATTTGAGGCAGCGCCAATTTTTTTTCGACCCCCCCCCCCGAAACCAAAAGCATACTGAAGAATCAGAAAGGAAAACGCGCAAGGAAATGGAATTGGACAATCCTGATGAGACCTCATGTGTTGAAGGGGATTTATGCTGAAAGGTCCAAATGGGAGACAGAGATTCTGAAGCATCAGCAAAGCACAACAGCAGATGAGAGAACGCAAAGGAGTGGATTGAGCAAAGGGAAGAAAGCATCAGGTGGGAACCACATGAGAGTCAGGGCATCAGGTGGGGGTGCGAAGCATTCCCCCACTTGGTTGGTGAGGTTGAGACATGGTTGGAAAGGGAAAGGAGTTATGGGCATGGGGTGCAGAAGATGGATCTTGCATGGAAATATTTTCAGCTGCTGTCAGTGGAGAAAGTCAAGCTTGAGGAGAAAAGGGATGAGCTGGAAGATGGGCCCCAGAAGATTCTTTGTATCAATCAATTGGAAAGGGCTGAATCCCAAATGAAGAGCATCAAATAGGGGTATAAGCAAAGGGAAGAGAGGGCCAAGATGCTTATGGATGCTATTGGTGCCAAACACGTTGGCGCGCTTGAGCAATGAGGAGCAGCAGATTTCAGCAGAATTGGCATGGAACCACCATGACTATATCATGAGCCTTGTGTTCATGGGGCATGAAGATCTGAAGGAATTTGTGGCAAAGCCTGAATGTATGCTTGGATTCTCAGATCAGGTTCCTGTATGGGTGAAAAAGGGATCAACTAAGGCTGTATTTGCAGGCCATGAGACCAAGACACATGGGAAGACCATCAAAAAGATTAGGAGGGACCTTCAAGATGAGCTGAACCAACAAGCCCATGAGACAGGAACCCAATGAGGACCTTAAGGCATTAGATGATCAGAAGAAGCAAGATTGGCAATTGGTGACCACTGAAGATCAAAAAGGGTGGGGGAAGAGCTCATTTGACTATCATGACGGACTCAGCAACTGAGAAGATGAGGACTACCTTTGAGGCCCATCAGCTGGTGAGCAATTTCTTCAACCCTGATGAGGACCCCATTGGACATGTGGGCAAGGGGGCGCTCATAGTATCTGGGCAACATGCAAGATTGGACAACATTGATGACAAAGGCAGGTGGATTGAGGATGAATCATTTAACTATTTGGGAGGCATCAAACGGCATAGGAAGGGAGAGAGTGCCAGGAGGGCATTGGAACAATGGGTCAAGATCAGAAGGGGTCATCCTCATTTGTTGGAGCACTATGATATTTATTCCCAACCATCCTCCAATCAGGACAATATCATTATGTCATGGGTCATTGCAAAGCAAGGGAGGATGTATCCAGTATCCATCTATCCATCTATCAGAGGGATTGCTTTGCTGCTTCATTTAGCGATGATACATACAAGATGATGTATGCAGCCCATCAGCTACAGTCTATCATTCCTCCAAAGATGACAGCTATGATGCAATTGACAGATACAGACTTTAGCTATGTGTTTAAAAACTTGATGAGGAAATCTGTTGATAAGATCATGGCAAAGGGGCAGCAGGCTATGGGCACAAGTGATGTGTACCAGATGGGTGAATGCAACGAAAACATAGAAAATCTATTGAAAATCGTAGAAAAACGCAAAAACACTGAAAAACACACACCTCCAGAGCGTCGTACTCTCTGTTTCATTGTTCACCAAAAAAACGTGGGAATCTTGTTTGAGCAATACACAGGCGTGGTGAGCGTCCCCCCAAGTCCAAGCAGGCTAGAAAAAATATTGCCAACAGACTCACATCCCTCCAGTTGGTCCTTCTGCGCAAGTTCCACCTAGTTCCCCGAATGTGGTCTAGGCGCATGTTGTCGGATCTTCGATTCTGACAAGAGCCCGGGTGCTTGGGCCGGGACATTTGGTCGATCAGGCTTCCACGTGGCAAGCGCCCAACACTTCTCATATGGAGTGCTCCACTTCTGGGAGTGATCCACGACTTTGAGAAAGGCATTGTTTTTCAGAGAGCTGCAACTGTTTGGAGCAGCAAGGCCAAAAATCATGCCGGGGGTTGTGTTTATTTTTTTTGGTAAACCTATCAGCCGCTCCAACCAGTGCGTTTCTAGCTGAAAAAGCATGGTGAGCCGAGTTTCATGAAGTTTTGACCTGATCACCGTGGCTCGAAACAAAGGAGAGACAATCCAAATACATGAACAGTGCTGTGCGCAGATGGGATCACGTAGTTCTGTTAGCTGCGTAGTTCAGGGAATTGGTAGCCGAAAACATTAGTTCGGTAGGATGTGCGCATGGAGACTGAGATTGATCTCAACTACAAGGCTTGAACAAATCTCGAACGATTCGGTGTTTTTGGAGCTCACCGAGTTTGTGAGGGGCTGGTTCTCCCTGAGTTTGGGAGCTGTGATTTGTGTTTCATCGACATTGATTTTGTGTACCTTATCACGCTCTGAAGTATCCCAGTGGTGCTTTATTGAGGTTCTTAGTTGTACAGATGAGCTACCACGGGGCATCCAACTCTGCTTGTATAGGGTTCTATACAGTTCATCTTGCTGATTTTGAGTCATTTCTGAAAACCCGGCCGCAAAAACAGATTCATTCTGCCTCCGAATTCGATGGTTCTTTTTCTTGATGTAGTGGTCTGCAACGGTGCAAAGTTCTGGGCTTGAGTCGCTTGAGTCACTTGAAATCTTCCCACCTCCTAGCAGTTCCATGGAGTACCCCAATGGAGTTGGGGTCCAAACTGTCCTTGTCACATCCACTCGCAGGGGTCTAAAGCCCATCCAACTCCAGGGACCTTGCTGTCCATGTGGATTTGCTGTCCACACTGGAGGATCATTGCCTCATCATCGTGGGTGATGGAGGCGAAGCTGACGAGCTTTTAGCCCGCAGGCGCTTGGCCGCGGGAGGACGCTTGGCCCACTTTACGGTGGGCCATGGCCAAGTGAAGACACTTGGTTTGCAGTGGGCTTGGTGATGGGGGCAAGCTGAGGGGCCATTGCGCTTTCTGAGAGAAAGCAGTGGCCAGATTGGATCGAACAAGGATCTGACCTTGTAGAGTTGAGCTCCCTTGCAGGTGTAGACCCAAAGAAACCAGCACAGTTCAGCTCCTTTTGTTATTTTATTTTTCTCCAGGTCTGAAAATACTGAGAAACAACTCCAACCGCCGCCTTCGAGCTCTACTGCGTGGGGTGCCTCACCTCTACCTACCTCTCTCTCTGAATCGGCCAGCCCAAGGTTTGCAGGTGCTGCAGAAGAGGTGATTTTTGCCTGGCAGCCCTTGTACCAGGCAAAGCCTTCCAACTTGGGCGTGAAGCTGGGCCAATCTCTGAAGACCTACTGGACCAAGTCAGGCGCACCAGAGTCGTCCGGCTACTTGCAAGCTGTTTGAGCATCGGCCCTTCCCATGTGGAAGTTGCTTCATGGGGGTTTTGTGAGAAAGGTCTTGGTACGGATGACTGACACATCCATCAAAACGGCAACATTGATGGCCATATGCCTTGTTCTTCTCATGCTTGGAAGTGTTTGTTTTCTCTCTCCCCCCAATACGAAGCACCCGGATTTCTCTCCCAAACACTTGTAGTAGTGTTTGCAGCCCTGTTTCATGTTCCGGGCTGTGCGTATTTCAGCACGGTTCGCCTTGTGCGTTTCATGTCACCCGATGATTTCTATCGGAGTCCTGGCAGGTCCGGATTGCATGGAATTGGAAGCGAATCAAACTTTGCAGATCTTCACCAAAGATCAACACATGAGGTGCGGCCCAGTTCCAATGCAGATCAGATATTCCAAGGAAGGATCCGTCTGTCGCAAAAGGACCATCTGACAATGCTTTTGACAGAAAATCACTTGAACTAAGATATTTTGCATGGTGAGCAGTCCTAAAGAAGGGTCACTCAGACATGCTGTGTCGCTCGGAGTTCTCAAGATGTTTTGAATGATTGATCCCAAGCTAGTGACGTTTCGTCACAGTGGGTGGAGATCGACTTGTGCTGGTGATGTGGGTGCAGATCGACTCATGGATTATCAGATGATCTTCCTCTTTACGGACAACTATACTGGGTGTGTAATCTAATAGGGAGACGCCCGATCGCCCCTTGCTGGAATGTTCTAGTTCCCTTTGAACCCAGGGCGTCGGGGCCGCCTGGGAGGCACTCCTTATTTCAATACACACCCAGATGTGTTGACTCCTCAAACCTCAAACCCCCTGAAAGAAAGAAAACACGTGGCCCATGTCCATTTTCCCTTGGGGGGAGGTGGATCTTTCCGAGAGCTGCCCCCGGCTCTGGGTCGAAAGAAGGCTCCAAAACGGCCCAAGTTCGGCTCGAATCAAGCTTCGGAGTTCGGAGGGGTTTCCTCCGTCGCAGCCAACATGTACACCAGGTCCGAGTCCATACAAAGACATCAGCCCGCCCTGTTCATGGCGTTTGTGAACGTTTGTGTTCGTTCGGAGGCTGGTGCGGCTGGTGAATGAGGAAGGGCAAGTGCTGCTGGAGATGTCTGGGGAGGTGATCTTGAATCCCGATGAGGAGCTCGCGCAGATCTTCGAGGTGCGCAAAAACGCGAGGGAAGGTGGGTTACCCCATCCTTCCGCTAGGCTGATTGGGTGGGAATCTTTCGGCTCTTAAGCCTCCAAAAGTGCTCCAGTCTTCTCAAAAGGGTCACAGGCTGCAGTGCCAAACTGCCGGCATTGTGAGGCCAGGATTCAACCATGCAATGATGCAAGAAACAGGGACATCTGCCAGAATGTCCGCCCTCCCAGTAAGTATGACTTGCAGTTCTCCAGTTCTCCAGATGTTGTGCAGATGGGGAAATTCCTTTTTGCCTGAAACGGAGTCTTGCTCCTTGGAAAGGGTGCTTTGGCAGCCGTTGGGTCTCGGCTTTGACCGCCGGTCGCTCTCTCCACCGGGTTGGTCAGGTTGCTTCGGTCACCTTTTTACCAAGTCTCAAGATCTAAATCTCAAGTGCCTGGGGACATGACAGTGATGTCCGACGGCGTGTCTGACCGGTGGGTGGTGGTTTTTGACCGGGGTCTTTGTTGTACGCCGTCAAAGGATCGGAGTATTCTTTAGAGGGAACCGTTCATGCCCTCCCGCTGTTGACTCATAAGTCGTGCGGAGACCCTTCCGAGGGTTGCCGTTGCCGTTGCCGCATGGGCAGTTTGCTTTGAGTAGATGTCTACCTCCACCTGAAGCATCCGACCTGGATGACTCAGCACTCGTGGTGACTCCTTTTGGACCCCATTTGCGGGCGGACGTGGGGACGGTACTGGACTGTGATTCCAGTGTTTGAGCGGAGACCTGGAGGTCGCTGTCCGAGTTTGGCCAAAGAAGTGCAGAGAGTAGAGGCTTTTTTTAAGCTCTCTGTATTTGGGGCCTCTTTCCACTTGGTCAACTTCAGTGCCCCAAGGGCCCCAGTTGTGAGTTGTGGAGGGGGGGGTTGTGAGTTGTGGAGCGCCTGGAGCAGTGGGGAGCGCTTGCAGCAGTGGAAGGTGCCTCATGAAGGTGATTCCTCAAAATGTGAACCAGCTTCCAATCCCTAGCGATCCAGTCGTACCTTCTCAGACGGTGATTGGAGACACTGTCATGTAGGTTTGGAGGGTCCAAGTACCTTCTGAAACCGTATTTGGATCCCTGGAGAGTAGCAACTGTTCTCACCTTGGCCATGGACCTGGTTCCAAATCTGATGCAAATACGAGTCTTCCTTTCAAAAAGAACTCGGGATGCGGAGGTCTACACCTTTTAGGAGGCACACCAGCGTCCGGTTGTCCACTGTCGACCATCGTTTTCCTTTTCCCTACTTGCAGGAAACGATTCCAGCATAGAGACCCCAAACAGGACAAATGACACCACGGAAGAACTTCAGCCTTACGTTGAACGTGCGTCAGTCGAGCGCGAATTCGTGCGAATCCGTGCTATTCGCCACTCAAGGCGTCTTGCCCAATTTTCGACGAAAAGAGAGAGAGCCGAAGACAACTAGAAACGGCTTGAACACACGGCATTTTGCGATCAAACCCATGCCTCCGGCTTTGTATGCGAACAAGAATGTATTGGAACCATTCCCAAAGCCAATTACTCATTCTACAGAATGATGTCGTTCCGCCTAGACCACTGACTTTCCAAGGTTGATTCACATGACAGGATGTTGAAAGCATCCTGTCGGTGGTTCCAAGGGTCGTCCCAAAGCACACCTTGAAGAAACCTCCACGTGGTGTCGTCCACCTCCACAACAGTCGTCCTCGGTTTCTGTGATTTTTCATCCGATCATGTCCGAAAAGAACATCCCTGTGCAACATTCCATTTCAAGCAAGGGACAAAGGACCTTGACCGTGGTTGAGGTCCCTTTGGTAGCATCTAAGCACAAGTTGGTCAATTGACAATGTGTCAAGACATGAAAGCATTCCAGAAACAGACCCTCAGACATGACACGCACAAATCGAGAAACGCTGACGCATTAGGCCCAAGCGAAAAGAGCGTTCACGCTTCGCATGGTAGCGGAGCGCTGGTCGTAAGTGCCGGCCTCCGCTACCCACGTTTGCCACCACGATTCGCCGCCATAGGCGCGCGTCATCGGGCGCAAGCCCCACGGGCTTTTGGCTGACGGAGTTGCTCCTGCTGGCCTGCATCGCTGGGAGCGCAGGAGATCACTGGACACAGGAGGCCAACTACTACCTCCCGGGCACTGTGACCCCGCTGGTCGGCAAGAGGAGCATCCGCCACTACCACACTGTCGTGGTGGACAGCGACAACTACGTGGGTAGGCTGACTTGGGCCAGGAGCGAGAAGAGTGTCAAAGCCTCGCTGCACTTGCAAGAGCGTGGCACTGGAAAGAACAAGAAGAAGAAAAGGAAGTGTTTGGTCGTGATCGTCCCGGCCACCTGGAAGTTCATCAAACGAGCCGAGAGGTTCAGAGACGAGACCACACCAGAGGAGGCCTGTGAACTCTTGGCCAATTGGGATTTGGTCAGCCTTGCAGGGTACGCAGGACTACACCTCGAACAGGAGAACGAGCCCACACCAAAGGTGGACACGAAGGTCTTCTGCCCCTACGTTCCCTACATCAGGAACATGGCTGAGGAGAGCTTACGCCAGATTTCGCAAGCCCTTGAGAGGCTGACAGTCCATCAGAGTGCGGCTGCATGGTCAAGACATGTCAAAACCCCAGACATCTTCAAGCCGGACAAGAATTGAAGAGTTGGACTGACTGGAAATTCGGCTTCATCAACTATGTGAAGAGCATCGAGCCCAACATGGCGAACAGCATGAAGATGGTTGAGGACAACCTCAACGGTGACTTCAACTTTGATGATATGACCAATGAGACGAAGGCCATGGCTGTACGGCTGTACGCCGTCCTCACCAGCTACCTGAGGAACCGCCCGCTGAAACTGGTGAGACACATCAAGGCCGAGAACGGTTTCGAAGCATGGCAACGGCTGTTGAGGGAGATGCAACCTGCCACTCGCGCAAGGGCCCTAGCATTGCTGACCCAGCTGTCGAGGGTCCAATTTGCAGAGGGCAAGACGATTTCCGAGCAGCTTCCACAGTATGAGACCATCATCACCGAGTACGAGAGGATCTCAGGCCACGCGTACGCTGATGATGCAAAAGTGGCATCGATCCTGCAAGCAGTCCCAGCTCACCTGCGAGCCCACTTGCAGCTGTGGATCAGCGACGACACCACCTATGAGCAGGTGAAGAACAAAGTCATGGAGCTTGAAGCCCTTTCTACTCGATGGGACAGCTCCAACAGCTTGGCAATGCCCACAAGAGCAGGCATGGACGAAGCTACACCCATGGAAGTTGACTACATCCGTGGGGACAAAGGGAAGAAAGGAGGAAAAGGCAAAAGCAAGGATCAGAAGGGCAAGTCAAAAGGAAAAGAGAAAGGAAAAGCAAAGGTTGATGGCAAAGGTTCATGGAGAGGTGGTGAGAAAGGAAAGTCTCTATGGGAGAAGGGAGGCTTTGGAAAGAAAGGCAAAGCACCAGAGAAGGGTGCAAGGAAAGGCCGGAGCTTGCCATAATTGCGGCAAAGTTGGCCACTATGCCAAGGATTGCTGGGCGCCGAAACGTGCCCAAGTGAGCCAGGTGGAGGAGCAATCGCCTACTGGTGCAAATCCCGGTGGAGCAAGCTCGTCATCCGGCCAAGGAGGAACAACAGTGACTACTTCCAGTGTGAAGATGGTTCGACTGGAGACACCACCAGAATCGAGGTCATTGGAGATCTTTGACCTGACGACGCCCAGAGGATCAGGAGAGACGTCAACGCCACCATGGCGTGTTGGCATGATCAGGTTCGAGATCCTGGAGGAGAAGTTTGAGGATGCAAGAGATGGTTGGAATGAGATTGAGGAGTTCATGGACTGCATAGAACCAGTAGTGCTAGTCCCAAGCGGCATTGCTGTTGTGGCCATGGACATGCAAGATGAGGAGGATGAGAAGATGGTGCAGATGGTGAGAACAGATGAGGATGAGTGTGCATCATGCATGGTCACCTTGGACAGCGGTGCTGATGTTTCAGTACTCCCAAAGTCCTACGCGGGAGTAGGGAGATGGTCAGAAGGCTCGAGGCAGCTGAGGGTGGTAGATGCTCAGGGCAAGATGATTGAGCACAGCGGCACTACGAAGGCCAGAGTGAGGACAAAGGACAGCAATGGAAGGCAGATTGAGCTGCTGGAGGAGTTCGTGCTAGGCAACGTACAGCACCCAATCCTCTGTGCGGGCAAGCTGCTTCGTAAAGGTTGGAGCATCAACAGCACGGAGGATGGCCTGAACTTGCGACATGAGGAGAAGAAGGTGTCAGTCCCCATCAGCGATGAAAGGAACTCACTACAATTTGCTGCGCACATCTATGTGGTTGGCATCGAGGAGAGCCAGGGAGCAGCAAAGGAGGAAGCAAGGGTGATGGCGCTGAGGGGAACGCCAAGCAAACATATCCAAGATTTGGAAATGGCACCAGGTTGGCACAGATTGCCAAATGGCATAGTTGCATACAGTGATCCCATCGCAACAACGCTCACAGATCCACGAGGTCAAATTGAAGAGAAGTGGAAGTCACGACTCACCTTGGTCAAGGACAACGATGGGATGTGGACACAGGTGGAGAATGAGGAGGACTACATGTCCCTGGGAGAAGCCGCGTTCAGGAAAATCGGGCTTGGAGGACCAGTTCGCACGATCAGCTTCTTCGCCCCATCCAAGATGGAAGACTATTGGGAACCAAATTCAGAGGTTCCAAAGAAGCCATTTCCCGAAGAGCGAACAAAGGAGAAAGAGGGAAGACTGGACTGGTCTGAGGATGACCGAGAAGAGGAAGAGGAGCTGGAGATGCAGATTGATGCAAAGGACATTGAGAAGATGGTGGTTGCATCAAGACCAAATGAGGTGGAGCTTGATGAAGTGGTGTACACGGACAAGATGTCCGTCAAAGAGTTGCAGATGGCTTGCAAGGAGCGAGAACTCCCACACACTGGCAGCAAACGACGATTGCTGGATCGATTGATGGCATTTCGCATCAACCTGGAGAACCAGATGAAGTTGGGCATAGCCAATAAGTTGTTTGAGGAGCAATACAGGAGGCCCAAAATGTTGGGACAGCCAAAACTGCCATCAAGAAAAGATCAGGAAGCACACTTTGTCACCCACATTCCATACGCCCCTTGGTGCCAAGCATGCGTGGCCAGTCGGGCCAAGGAAGATCACTACATGGCACGAGAGGAGAAGGAGGACCTGGGCATGAACTTAATCCAACTGGATTTCTGCTACACATACACTGGGGAAGAGAAGAGGATGGAGGAGACCCCGGTGGACAAGGTGGCAGAGCGCTCAGATCAGTTTGGGACTTGCTTGGTGATGACATCACCAGAAACAAAGGCAATACATGTGGTGCCCATTCCCACCAAAGGGACAGCAAGCCTCAAGACGATCACTGAAGAGGTGATCAGGTTTTCACTCGAGAACAGTGGCAGAGACCCATGCATCTTCCAGGGCGACTCAGAGAGGTCTATGAGGCAGATATTGAGGTCTGTACAGCAAGTCAGAGCAGTGATGGGATTGAAGTGTGAGGTGAGGCTGACAGGCAGTGGACAGCACGCTTCAAACGGACAAGTTGAAAGGGCCGTGCAGACGATGAGGAAGATGGCAAACTGTTTGAGGTCCTACGCCGAAGGGATGGCATTCATCAAGATCATGGGGAATCTGCACATGTACCCTTGGTCGTTCAGGTATGCTTCATTCCTGATCAACAGGTTCCGAGTCCTGGAGAAGATTGGGAAGACCAGCTACGAGCTTGCCACTGGACATGCATACAGAGGCAAACTGGCATTGTATGGAGAGACGGTGATGTTCAAGAGGCTGACAAAGTACAAAGCCAGTGACACTTTTGAGACAGGCATTTGGGTCGGCAAGCACAGCTGGAATGACAACCACATCATCCTTACACCAGAAGGAGCCTTCGAAGCAAGGACGATCAGGAGGTTGGCAGTTGAAGATTCGTTCAAGGCAACAGACATGATCATTGCCAAAGGGCTGCCATGGTCGTATTCACCACAAGGAATCATGATGAAGCATGGTGGCTCAGCACAGAGATATAGGCAGCCAACATTAGAGAACGAAGCCACTGAGGAAGAGATGAAGGCCATTACAGAGGCAGTGGCAGCTGGGGTAGTCACACCAGCACCGGGATTGAGACCACAACCTACAACCCCGGGTTTCCCAGTGCCAGCACCGACAACACCTGCCATTGGACGAGAGACTCCGAGGAAGAGAAGTGCAGAGGAGACACAAGAAGAACCTGAGGCAAAGAGACATGATGATGAGGATTCACCTCGGGGGGTGCATGAGAAAAGGGAGACACAGCACGAAGACCAGGAAGAGAAGGAGAAGAAGCAGAGGACAGAGGATGTTGAGGTCGAAGAGAGAGGAGAAACAAGAGGAGCGAGCTCGACACGGCCAAGAGAGAATGAAGTTCAGCAGATGGGCAGTGCATCCCCCGGCAAGATTCCCAGGCTCTATCCACCGCAATATGCTGGAATTCAAGCCATCGAAGCACATGGGGACGAAGAGATGAATGATGAGTTGGTCCCTGATGCATTGACTGAGGAGTTCTTTGCAGGTTACGGAGGAAATGAAGAAGATGAACCTCCGATCACTACAGAGGCACATTTGGAAAGATTGGACCATGAGGCAAGATTGAATGAAGTGAACAGGATGATCAACATCCCTGCCATGGTCGAATGTGCCCCAGAAGAAGTGGAGAAGGAAAGAGGCTACATCATCTCGACAAAGTTCGTGCTCACATGGAAGCACAGGCTTGAGCAAGGAGGTTGGTTTCGAAGAGCCAGGTTGGTGGCCAGGCAGTTCAAAAGCAGCGTAAACATCGAGCAAACATTTGCACCCACATCCATGCTAGTGGTGCCGAAGATGTTGATTCACTTGCTGCTGAACGTCTGCCGAGACTTCGTGGCCATGACGCTCGACATCAAAGACGCTTTCCTCATGGCTGACCAGCCGAAAGAAGAGAAGGCCTACGTGGATGTAGACAACGTCATCTACAAGCTGGTGAAGTGCCTCCCGGGCCAGAGAACTGCAGCGTCTCAATGGTTCCAGCTGTTCGCAAAAGCAGCAAGGGACTTTGGACTTGAGCAAGATGTCATGCAACCCACGCTTCTCATGAAGACGAAAGACATCTACATCACTGTTCACGTTGATGATGTCTTCATGGTGGGAAAGGAGAAGAGTTTGAGGGCCTTTGTGAACTACCTCAAGGAAGAGATGAAGTGGAGTGTTGAGGAGAAGGGCCCATTCCGCAGTGGTGAAACTTTCCACTACTTGAAGAGAGAATTTGCGATGTATGATGATTGGTGTGACATCAGGTGCGACTACAGGCAATATGAAAGTCTGGCCAAAGACGTGGAGGACATCTTCAAGAAGGCCTGTCGCAAGACGCCCACAAATCAAGAGTTCAGTAAGAAGGATGACAGCGAAGAGCTGCAAGGAGAGGACATCACTCGTTACAGGAGTGTGGTGGGCCGCTTGATGTACTTGGCTGGTGAACGGCCGGACGCTCAATTCGCCATCCAGAGCTTGGCAAAGTTCATGGCGAGACCCACGAAGCAAGCCTGGAAGAATGCCTGGCATGTGTGCTCATACCTTCAAGGCACACAAGGGTTTGGCGTGAGGTTAGCCGCAAGAGCCAAGGGACAGACCATCATGGATGTCAGGGAGTCGGACGAGGTGGAGAGCAAGAAGAAGCACTTGTTGGAAGTGGTCTGTGACAGCGACTACGCTGGAAATCGACATGACCGCAAAAGCACGACCTCGTTCCAGATCCTGCTGGATGGAAATTTGATGGAGTCGAGAGTTCGAAGCCAGAAATCGATATCACTCTCATCAGGTGAAGCAGAGTTCGTGGCGATGGTTGGAGGATGCTCTGATGGAATGCTCATCCGCCACCTGTGGATGAAGATGGTGGAAGAAGAATGTGAGATGAGGGTGCGATCGGATAGCTCAGCGGCACGCTCCATGGTCCAGAGGCAAGGCATTGGCAGGGTCAGACACTTAGACGCCGCCCTGCTTTGGATCCAGCAGAAAGAGAAGGACAAAATCCTCACAGTGAGCCCAATACCAACAGAGTTGAACTCCGCGGACATCGGCGCGAAGGGCCTCACACGAAGCAGATTGTTTGGCCTGCTGTACATGTTGAAGATGATCAACAGTGCCGGTGACCGAGTCGGATTCGAAGAGTACAAGGAGCTCGAGCATCGTGAAAGGATGAGAAAAGGAACACAAAAGGTGCTGAAGAACAAGAACCTTCATGTTGGCTTGATATGGCTGCTCTCCAACTTGGAAAGTGTGGCCGGATCTCCTACAGAAGAGGCCAACAATGAAGAGGGCGATGGCTGGACATGGATCTGGCTGATGCTCGTGACAATCGGGGCCTTGAGTCTGATTGAGTGGCTGCGGCAGCATCTGCTGAAGGCAACAGGCATGACCTTGGACTACATCGGAGTCACCTTCAGCAAGATGATCAAGGAGATCATGAAGTACAAGAATGATGAAAAGAAGATTCATGACAAAGCAACCCAGACAGAAGGGGTTGAGAGAGATGATGAAAAGGAAGAAATGGAAACGAAGATCTTCCAGCTCGACACTTACATCGAAGAGCTGGAGGACTCAATCTCAAAGTTGAAGGAGCAGCGCAGCATGGTGCTACAAGAATGCTGGCTGGCTTCAGAGCATGGGAAAAGGCTGATGGAACGCAGCCTAAAGTACAGGATCTGCCAAAATGGCAGGAAGCTTCATTTTGAGGCTGGGTGCCCGCACTTTGCCGGAGCATCGGGAATAGGCTTGTGCGCCATGTGTCTGAGGGTAGAGGGCGTGTCAAGACATGAAAGCATTCCAGAAACAGACCCTCAGACATGACACGCACAAATCGAGAAACGCTGACGCATTAGGCCCAAGCGAAAAGAGCGTTCACGCTTCGCACAATGTCAAATTATGTGAGAAGGTCAAGTCTTTCTTTGCATCATGTTAATCGGCGCTGTCGATTTCGTGGTCATAGCATAGTTGATTCAAGAACATTCCAGTCTCTTTGCCCACCACAGGATGCTGTAACCCAAAACTGGACTGTTAGGTCATGTGTTGCATAAATTCCAACCTTTGGTGAAATTGACCGGTCATGTGTTCTCGGACATGGGACCCATGTCCAGGGCGGCCAACATGTTTGCCTGCTAAGCTGAAAACCCCTTTGTTGCAAAGCTGCGCCTTTTTACTGAAACACTCTACAAAGACAGCCAATCCACAGGCTCATTGTGAGGGTCACAAACGGAGTCAGCTCCATAACATTCAGCTCGTTTGTTTGGTCGAAAAAAAACCAATCGGCATTTTTCTGTGCAGATTCAAGAGGCGCTAAAGTGATGGACCCTTGTGATCCTGGAGACAGACCCGAAAAGTATGCAAGTCCACCTGGATCGGCAACAAACACCCGAACGAGCTCTGTTTCGGTCCTCTTTCAGCCGAAACAGGGCGGTTATGCCGACCCTGGCGAGGTGGCGGTGGAAGACTGTGAGCTCCAGGCGTTTGGGACCTACTCCAGACATGGCGTGATAGGCCCGGGGGCCCGGGAAAGCACGCTGGAGGACGACGGGTTGGGGAGAGGTTGGAGGCTGGGACAATTGGAGAGGTCGGAAATTGTTTTGTTTTTTGAGGGCTACAGTCATCCAGGGCCCTAGAGGTCTGGGAGAGTTGGATAGAAGTTGGCGCCAGCGTGACCAGACAGGAGATGTTGATGTTGGGGAACAAAACATGTTGATGTTCATATTGATGTTTAGCTCCACCAAGATGATGATAGGAAGGCAGTGAAGCACTTGTCCACAGGATTTGTCTCAAAAGAAAAGAGTGCTGCCTTACTAGCTACCTATCTTGACCCAACACTCCCTATGATCCTCGGTGGGGCTCCCTTTCTTGTCCCAACTCGGTGAGGCTCCTTGCTGATTTTGATTCTTTGGCACACCATCCGTTGGACGGTGTCAGTCAAGATGGAGCAGATCGCAGAGGATGGCCAGCTGCTTGGACTAACCCAACCACGCGCGTTCGTGCGGACCCTTGCGGGTGCTGTGCCATCTGCGCAGCGTCAGCGTGCTGGCCGAATCGTGCCAAAAGCGACGACCAGCGCCTAAAGTGAGGAGTCTACAGAAAAACGATGCCGCCCGAAGAAGAGCTTCCAGATACATTCTGATACATTCCTCGAAACACTGTTGTTGTGGCCGTCGCCAGGTATGTTTGGTGGCGAGGAGTTCTGGTCTTGATGAATGGCGTTATCTTCTGCTGTTTGGGGCTTTGGCAGATCCTCTGTAGCAGCCCGGGGGTTGTGCGGCCATGTACATGTTCGTTGCAGTTTGTTTTTGGGCGAACCCGCCGGAGGCGGATGCGACTCTTCTTGTTCAGTGCTGCAAGAAACGAAACTGACAGACTCTCAGCGGGTGCGTTCGTCTTTGGCAGATTGCAACGGGATGAATGTTTGAAGCTTGAGGATGTCCAGTGACCATAGTGACCTGTGCCTAGAAGGGAGTGGAGAAAAACAACTCTACAAATTCTATCCAATTCCACCTACTTCCACGTTTCTTTCGTTTCAGTGGGTCACACAAAGCCACTGTGAGGGCAAAGCCCGGTGAAGATTCAGCTGCAGGGTGGTCCAAAGAAGATGTGAATTGCCTTTGGAGCTGACCGCACTGACCCTCATGAACCAAACCCGATGCGGTTCACCCAAACCGGTGGAGAGCGACGACGGTCGGGCGTTTGAGCGCGAACGTGGAACGGCGGGACATTTGGGTCGGCGGATTCACTCCGCAGGCGACTGGGTAGGTGGGGCGTCTTTTTGGGGACCTGTGTTTCTCGGGACTTTTGGGCAGTTGACCCAGAACTTCCAATGACTCATGAACAACTCCACCTGGTAGTCCTCATCCACCACTAGCAGGCTGAAAACAAGGCTGAGTCATGGACTCCTGGTGAGTCTCAGGGTGATTTCGCTCGCTCCGTGGATCGATCTGCCTGGGGTCGAATGCCAGGGAGGTTCGGCCGACGGGTCGGTGGAAAAACCGACTGGAAGCGGCGACGGCGGGAAGCGGAACCGAGACCTGGATCTCCCTTTTTTTCCTCACTCTTTTGCGACTCATTACCATTGTGAAAGGTGAGACATTTACCATCTGAGCCCTGGAAGTCCACCATTTCAATGGTTGATCTGGTTTGAATTGTAGAGTGAAATCCTCAATAAAACAATGGTTGTTCAGTGAAGGCGACCAAATAAAATCAAATAAATAGTGCTTCGACCCTTGGTGAGAACCCATCCAACCAAAGGTCACCTGTTCTGCTTGCCGCATAGACCGACCGATGCTCGGCATCACCGGTCGGATCGGAAGCCTCTTCCGGCCGGCGCTGCGACCGAGGAGTTGGGCGGCCAGCCTGTCGGGCGTCTCCGATCTGGATCTACGTCACAAGCTCCTGTGCATCACCTTGGTCGCGCCGGTGGTGCCTCCGCAGCAACCTTGTATACGTGGGGGGAAGAAAGGTCAACGGGAGACGAGGAGGATGACCCGAAAAAGAGCTCCGCGCAGGTCGGTGGACTCTTGGACCGTTCGTTCTATTCGTTCTATTCCATTTGTTCCGAGCAAAGACTTTTTTGGCAATCGTCTCTTGATCCTTGGCGCTGTTGGTGGGTTCCAGCACGAGTTCGATGGCATACCAGTTCCGGTTGAACGGACCAGTCGAAGAGGGACGCCAGGCCGAGTAGGCCCGCAGGCCAGGCCGAGCGAGCCGAGAAGAGGTGGTTTGGCCGGTGAAACGCCAGGATTGGACCATTGGATGCTGCGAGCTTGGACGTGGGTCAAGAAAGGAGTGTGGCATACGGTAGCACAGGTTTGTTCCCGAAAGCATTGCGAAGGGTTCTTCCGGAAAATCCCTTGAACACTGACACTTCGACACTTACACTTACACACTGACACTTCCACACTTGCACTTGAACACTGACATTTCTACACTTACACTTGAACACTTACGCTTCCACACTGACACTTGAACACTGACACGTCTATACGTATCCCAGTGTAAGGGTAAAAAGCATCCAAGGGCAAGTATGCGAGTGCAAGTGCAATCCCAGTGAAAGGATGCAAGTATGAGTATGGAAAGCTTGCACGGGAGATGTCCTAATGAAAACTTGCACGGGAGATGTCCTAATGAAAAACATTTCCCCACTTTGTAGATTCTCTCTTAGAGGCGGAGGGTGGGACGAACAGCGTCAACCGAAAATGCAACCCTCTGCGGAGATCGTGCGTGTCGAGTGCGCGAAATGCAGGCGAGAGTGCGACTTGTCACATGCCCGCGCAACCCTCTGCGGAGATCGTGCGTGTCGAGTGCGCGAAATGCAGGCGAGAGTGCGATTGGGGCGGTCCGCGCGCAACCCTCTGCGGAGATCGTGGGTGTTGAGTGCGCGAAATGCAGGCGAGAGTGCGATCTGTCCGGTCCGCGCGCAACCCTCTGCGGAGATCGCGGGTGTCGAGTGCGCGAAGCTGAGAACTGGCGACTTTGTAGTACAACTTTAGTACAGGGAGTATCTGGGGAGCTGGAAGATGAGAACTGGCGACTTGGTATAGTACAACTTTAGTACGCGGAGTATCTGGGGAGCTGGAAGATGAGAACTGGCGACTTGGTATACAACTTTAGTACGCGGAGCAATCTGTGGAGCTGGAAGCTGAGAACTGGCGACTTTGTAGTAGAACTTTAGTACGCAGAGTATCTGAGGAGCTGGACGATGAGAACTGGCGACTTTGTAGTGCAGCTCTAGCACGCGGAGTATCTGGCGAGCTGGAAGAGGAGTACTTGGCGACTTTGTAGTACAATTGTAGTACGCGGAGTAGCTGGGGAGCTGGCAGATGAGAACTGGCGACTTCGTAGTAAAACTTTAGATGCGGAGGACCTGGGGAGCAGAGACCCACACAGACAGGGACTCATACACACACATCACCTCAACTTACTCGGACACACAGACAGAGACTCACACACACACAGACATGGACACACACACACACAGAGACCCACACACTGCCTCAACTCACTCGACTTAACACTTCACACTGAACACTTAACAGATAACTCACACTCTGACTTCCTACGTAATGAAAAATGCTTTCGGGCCACTCGTCGTCTAGTTTTTGTATGGTTACCCAGCATGTTCTCTTTGGCCCGACAGGATTCATCCGTGTCATCCGTGTGGAGTTCTTTTGTTGGGTGCGGGATGGAATGGTGGATATGACTGGACAGGGCCTGGACGGGAGATGGTAGGCAGCCCTTCCGTTCTTGTGGAGGTTTGGAGGTCAAACGCGGGACTCGACCAGCGGAGCGGAGCGAACAGTGCAGTCGGTTGAGTCACGGTGGGGTCGCGCCGCATCACCCAAGTAATCGGCCAATTCTCCTGAATGTAGACTGTTGATGAATAAAACAAGTAAGACTATTCATCCATTTGGATTGTACAATCACCTCTTCCACCTCTCGCGCACACGAAGGGTTCATCAGTCCCTTCTGTACAGAGTCACCTGCATTCCACAGGTTGATTAGCAGAACCCCCAAAAGAGAGTCAGCGACCTAGCAAAGGACAACTAGCTAACAAAACAGTGGAAATTATTGAGAGGAGAGATTCGCCTTCAAAGCCCTGCTATTGATCAAAACGATATGGTAAAGTCCATCACGGACTGTAAAGCCTCTTCTACCTCTCGCGCTCACAAATCAGGTGTGAGACTGTGCCGCTTAGCATTCCACTAAATGGCATCCTGAACCCTGAGGAGGACGCACAGAAAGAGCGACCAGTTGAGGGGGGGCTCCCACCCGTGGCTCACGAGCCGCGTTCTGTGCTCAAGTCCAAGCAACAATCTCGCATCATGCAGGGCGATGTAGCCCAAGAATTACAGGCAGGATTTGCCTGAAACACAGTATACAACCAGCAATGCGTAGATGCTCAGTGGAAAGCAACAAAGCAAAGCTGGAAGTTCATCAAAGACAAAAACGTGAAAGCAAAGACTGGCCAAAGAAAAGTGGGCCCTTTGAATGAGCCGGTCGGTGGCTCAAGTGTCCTGGGGTCCCCAGTGCAAAAGAATTCAACGCTGCTTCAAAGCACGTTCTCCGCAAGGATCGATTCCCGTTTGCTGCAGGACCGTTGTCTAGCAAACCGTCCTCAAGCAGAACTTGGAAGATTTAGGCATCACCAGCTCCATCTAAGTTAACGCCAGTGAGAGGGGTTCATGAAATGTAGAGGGCTCGGGTATGAAATCCAACTCAGAAGCCAAGAGCTGCCCCGTATGAAGTGCAGCTGAGCACAGCCAGAATCAACATGGCGAAGTGTAGCACGTACAAGCGTCAACCTGGCAAAAGACCATGAGTGAAGAAAGGCGCAAAGCAGTCGATCTAAACGTTGTCCCCATGAACAGGGTGCCACACGGTTTGTAGGAGTCACCCCACCATGGCAGTGGCAGCAACCCCCCGCACCCCGCTGGCCGTAAGCCGAGTAGCTTTGGGCCAGGACGGCTGATTGTAAAACCTGGTATACGTGATGCCTAACGGGCGCTAAACACATCCAACAGTCAACAGTGCACCTCCCTCACTCCAGAATGTCTTGGAAAGCGCTTCGATCTATTTTCCGGACTTGGATTTGCCATTCAGCCTTCCAAAAGCAAGTGTCTCCACTTCCCGCCCTAAGCTCCACGCACCTTTTTCCCTCCAAAAAGCACCGTTGGTGTGACCGTTGGTGTGACCGGACGACGACAGAGGCCATGGTCGCGGCGGCTTCGCAAGTGGCCGATTACCCGCTTTCACTGATCGGCGTGGCGACGATTTGGATTTCGGGGCCCTTCCTGCAATACTACCAGACACGGCCGCAGTTTCCTGTGCCTGGAAGGTGGAATACGACGGGGTGTGTAGTGGGCACGGTACACCACATGCTGTATAATGTGTGTTCTTTGGGTGGGAGGAGTGTGTGTTTGTTTTGGTTGGGGAATATTGTTTGGTTTGTTCAGTACTGTGTTGCTGGGGTAGGGTGAGATCTTTTTCCTTTGACGACGGTGCTCTTGTGCGAGGGACCCTTCGAAAAGACTGCGGGTTGCCAGTTGCTACAGGGTAGGATCAGGGATTGGATCGACGATCTTGCATCACTTCCAAATGAAAAATATGCAAGGGTTGTTTTGGACTTGTTCGCAGTGCTGGGAAGGAAGGGCCTCGCGTGGTTTTTGCCAACGTGTTGAGCGGTTGAGCTGCGTTTAAACGACTCCGATGACTTTGCCAAAGTCTTCTTTTCATTTGGAAACCTCTTTTTGGTCAAAGAATCCAATGAACATGCTATTCGGATGAAACGCCCCCTGAATCTATTATCAGGGGTTGAACACGAAGAAGACTCAGAAGACCCTGTGAGAACGCAGTTTCCTTTGTTTGAGGCACACATTACCACCTTGAAGTTCTCTGGTTGGGACGGGCCTGAACAAGGAAACCTCACCGGACGACATCGACCCAACCCTGAACGCATGCTGTTCCAATGTCCAGACGCGACGAACGCGAAGGTTCAGGGCCGTGTAGGGTGATCGCGTCAAGGAGCGGCGCTTGCTGCCTTGCCTTTTGTGGACCACTGCACAGCTGGTGGCCACTGTTGGCACCTCTGCCGTTCTGGCAGCGATCGTGGTCGGCTACAGCCCTTTGGCGTTTAGCACTGGACAGAGTTCTGCGAAGGGTAGACGACCGAATACAAAGATAGAACTGGCTTTGACCAAGGGGCTCCTATGATCCAAAGCCGCACAAAAGTTCTTCCTGGTCGAAGTTGATAAGACATCCCCTGAGATGCCCGCACGCCTGCGTTCTAATAGTTTTTGTTGGGGTGGTGAAGCAAAGTGAAGCAGGCCAGTGGTTCCAGGATTTCCTGTCGACCACCTTTTTCGTGTTGACCTGCACTCCTGCTTCACACTCAAATCCAACAGTTCAGACTCAGAGCTAGTTTTGCAGAGGTTCTTCTGGTGCCTTCCAAGAACTGGCCCCAACCACAAGCAGAACACAAAGCATCGCGCTGACCGAACCGCGAAGACCATCGCGCGCCTCCCGCGCGCGAAGAGGACGTCCCGACCGGGCACCGTTCGCGTTTCGGTGCGCTCGCCGTCCTCTCGCTCCAGAGGATCACTGCTGGCAGCCTCCCAACCCATCGTGGCCTCCTTGTTCTTGCCCGTGTCCACTGCTTCGGTTGAGGGCATCATGGTCACCTTCACCAGGTGGAGAGGGGTTTGGGCGCGCGAAACCCGCTGGTTCGCACCATCCGTGCGCTGGCAGCGTTTGAGGTATTTTGGAGGGAACATCAGGGAGGTGATGGCACTGTTGGTCAATGGTCCCTTTCATACAAAAAGAGGTACTGTAACCACCTGAAAACTGGTGATGGCTAGATAGCTGGGCAGATTCCGAAACTGGTCACGCTTCTGAAGGAATCGAAAACTATCTTCCGGGGGATGGGTTCAATACTGTCAACTAAGCCATTGTTTGATGCTTGTGGATGTAAGCATCAATGTCAAGTTCTGCACACGGCAGCCGTTCCCTATCTTTGGTCCCATCCGTTCAGAGGCTTTTAGAAAACAAGAGGTGCTGACGGTGGTAGTTACACGTAGTGTGGGTAGTGATATGATGTGTTTGAACTGGATGATTTTGGCACAAAACCACTTGCCGAAAGTCCTCCTCCGCTTGCGCAGGCTCATGTACACAAACCTAGTGGTCAAGAGACGGCCCTCTGTTCCGGGCGATGCCGCTTTGCACCATTGAGGACCGTTCTACGGCGGGAGCCGAGCGTTGGATGTGCACCTCCTCACACCGGTATGTTCGAAAGAAGGAGTTTCCCAAGCTTCGACAGTTTTGCTGGCTCCAATTATTTGTTGTGCCCATTTTCAGTCCATTCGCTTTACTAGAGCTTGAAACCAAAGTGCCAGACCAGTTGGCCTGGTGCGACATGGTCAGTTTAGACATCATCATATGAGTCTCCTTAGCGGACTCTTTCAGGGTCATGCCATGCGTTTCCGACTTCGCAACCCAGCAAGCAACTAGCATCGTCCAACCGACTCGCTTGGCCGAACAAGCCTCCTCGGACGACCGGTGGAACCGACCCGGGTGGGAGAGAACGAGAGCTCCAGCGTGGGGTGGTCGGACTCTTGGGATCTGTTCTGGTCTCAGTCCTGCCTGGAAGTCCTTTCTTGGAGGTCTTTGGATTGCAAGTTGAAAGGTGGGGGGTTGATTCATCAACGTGTCTACATGAGTTGCCTTGGTTTCTCTGAAGCTACCTCTTCCACTGGATTCGTTATGCGAAGGCACAGATCAGTTGCTCACGTGGACCATGGTCCACAGTTCGCTGTTGAGGGACCGTGCAAGACCAAATTCAATGGCTTTCAGAGAACCCCTACCAGTCCTCATGTTACAAACCCTCAGTCTCATGCCAGGCTGCGAGTCCTGGATTCTGTCTTTTTGGAAGTTCTGGATTCTGTCAGCCCGAGAATCCCACGCTTGGCGGATGAGTCAGGTCTCTTTTGTGGCGGCTCCCTACATGCTCACTGCCATCCACGGCTTTGCCGAAGCGGCGCGCTTGGTCGGCCTCTTCTCCGGGCCCATGAAGTCAGGAAGCTTTACGTGGACTGGTGCACTGGCCACTTGGGATCTGATCACCGGGGCGGTTTTCGCATGTGTTTGGGCCTTTTCAACAAAGGACACCATCCATAGGAGTCCCATCTATCAAGCAGCTTCTTCTGGTAGGGTGCGCAGAAAGAGCTGGGTGGTGCGAAAGAGCTGGGTGGTGCGTTTCCCCAAGGGTTTGACAAGTTTGACCGTTCCTCTTTTGCAGTCTCACTTGGGCAACAAGTTGCCCTGAAAACGTATGGAGGATGATGGGTCCTGCCCTGAGACAGCTTCACACGGTGTTTTGGGTGTGTTTTGAGGCCATTACGCTGCTCGTGAATGTGTTGGCCCGTTGCGGGTGGACCCGCTTCTTGGCCTACTCGCTGGTGAAGCGGCTGGGCCTGAAGCAGGCGTGGATCTTGGCGCCCTCGGCCTATGGCAAACTACATGATGAGATCAAGATCTACGTGGGACACCTGGGAGTACATAGGTATCCTTGTTTGTCCCTTTTTTTGTTCTTTGAGAAAGTCCGGTAAAGCTCGCGTTTCCGTCTCTTTTCTTTCTGTCCTTTTCTTTGCGACCCTGTTTTATCCTTCTCTCTCCCTCTCTTTCCCTCTCCACTTTGAAACTTCTTTGCTTGTGTTGTGTCCTGCCTGAGGATACTTCCGATTTCCGGCGGTGATTGCCTTGGTCCTTGCGCGGCTCATGGTCTATCAGGATTTCTCACTCTCCGGGCCAACATCTCCAATATTTAATGTTTCTGCAGGCCTTGCGCTACTGTGTCCCTTGGCTTTGAAAAACACCACGCGGGAAGGTTGACTGAACTGCCATCTCCGTAATTGGTGTGAGGGTACGGCGCCGCGAGGATGGATATGACGCCCCCCAAGAAAACATGTGGGGTCCCCCTGTCCGTGGATCCTTTTCCCCAAACAGTGTGGTCACTAGAAATTCTTACGGCGAGGGTTAAGGCCAGGTGTTTGATCGAGGTGCTCATCGGGGCGTTCGGCTAAACTGGTGGGAAGGGCTGCATTCCTCGTTGTGGTGCCGTGCACATTTTCGGACTCGGTGGTCCTTTTCCCATGCTCGTTTTGAGCAATCGGGGTCAGTATTGAGCGAAAGCTGGGTTTTGTTTTTGTTTTTTGATGTTGTTTTTGGAAGTGCTTTTGCTACAAAATGCGGTGGCAGGGCTGCGCGATGTGAATGTTGTGGCTGTCGAAGTGCGGATCTTGTGGCAGGCACAACATTTGTTGAACCTCGAAGTGCAGATTTCGTGGCAGGGGCAGCAAGTGTGCTCCTATGTGTGTGCCCTTGGGTACGTGCTCTCAAATGTGTGTGCATGCTCTCATATATGTGCTCTTACATGTGCTCTCGTATGTCCTCCAGGCATCTGGACCTCCAGTAGCTCTCTTTGGATTTCTACGCCTTTAGATCCTTCTACTTCTAGACCCCCTTCATCTCTCTGACATCTCTGGGTCTCAAGACCTCTAGGCCTCCCGAAGTCTAAAATTCTCAATCTCAAGTCTTCCTTGTATCTCAAAACCTGATCTTTCAATCTCTTTCGATCTAAGACCTCTCCACCGAGGCCTCTAGGCCTTGACATCCAGATTTCTAGGCTAACTCTACATCTCTCTGGGTGTCAAGGCTTGCTGGATTCAAGAGATCTTTCTAGATCTCTAGACCTCTCAAACTCTCGCCGTCTTGATCTCTGGATCTCAAAACTTCTGGATCTCAAGAGCTCTGGGCCTCTGTGGATCTCAAGAGCTCTAGCAGATCTCGATTTGTTTGGATCTCAACGCAGACCCGTTTGGATCTCTAGGCATTTAGACTTGTCTAGACCTCTAGATCTCCCTAGGGAGATCTCTAGACCTTTAGACCTCTGTGGATCTAGACCTCGAGATCTCCAGATTTCTCTGGAACCCAATCCGTCTAGATCTCTAGGCCTTTTGCTTCTACACCTCTAGACCTTGGAGGTCTAGACCTCTAGGCGTCAAGGGCAACACTGTTTGAGGTATGTTGCAAGGATAATTTTTGTGTCCAGTTTAGGGCAGTTTGGGAGAGGGCAGGAGCCGGGCGTGAGGATCTGACCAGACAGGGTTTTGTGTTGATGCTTGCGTGGTTGGTGGGGGCCAATGCGGGATCCATGATTCTTGGGCTCTGAGGCATGCTTTTGGTGGAATACCTTGAAGATCATATTGTGGTGAGACAGATAGTCCCCATGAGCCCCATCCTGGCTGAGTTCATCGAGAGCAGCCTGCAGAAGGATGGCTTTGGCCGACATGGATGCCTCATCAGCGTGGATCTGCGAGTGGCTGTCGAACCGAGTTCTGCCTGGCGCATGGAGGAAGTGGATGAGAGTGGATTCAAAAGCACCCGACCTCAACCCAATGGCTCGCAGACCTGCGATCCTTCTCATAATGTCAAGATGTCTTCCGTGGTGCCCATGGCGGAGTTCGAGGGAGAGATCGAACGACCGAGTTCCTTTAGCCAAAGCCATCCTCCCACAAGTGCAGTCAGCGGTACCCGCCTGTATCGGACCTGGCCGCAAGACAGCCCGAGCCATGACCACGACGAGGTGGCCGAAGCACGTGTTGAGAAACCTTCCAGCAACGAGAGTCCCACCGCACCTGCGCAGACAAATCATCAGAATGCCCCAATCCCTTCGTTGCAGCTTTTGTCAATCTTCGCCTCAGAGCCTGCGGGCGCGCGGGAAACGCCGAGCCAGAGGGTCTCAGTGATGAACCTCACTGTGGAAGATGGAAGGCTGGATTGGATTCGGGGGTGTTCTGAATGACGGAAAGGTGGGTCTAACCGATGGGAGACTGCATTTGTGATGTGAATCTAGGCTTATATGCAGAGAGTGGAATTCTTTCCTTTTTCGACGTGTGTTTTTCTTATGGTTTGGGTTTTATCGTCTCCTAGTATATGTCTTTTGGTGGCTTGTGGCTTCTGACTTCCGTGGCTCGCTTTTGGTCACCGTTTTGGGCTCATGTGGGCTGCCAGACAAGTTCAATGGAGCTCATTACGGAAGTCCGAGCCGTTGTCCAGCACCTACCTTTCAAAGCATGAAAACGGTCGACGGTGTCGCCATATGTCGCCCTCGATGGATGGTCGGAGCGCTGCGGCAGAGCATCCACTGGGGGGGGGGCACCGAGTCCGAACTCTTTGCGACCAAAAAGCACCTTCAGATGGACACCCTGAACCGCCTCGAACAGTCGTTTCTTTTGTTCGACACCCCCAGGCCTCCAGTGGAGGCCCCGGGTCCCGGTACGGTACTTGTGACAATTCCGACCTGCAGGTGCGTTCATCTTGAGAACGCATCGTTCTTTCCTGGACCACGCATGACATCTTCTGTGGCACCGGCAAGACAGCGCCAAAAAAAACCAGGGAGATGGGCCACCAAAATGGAACCGATCAGTTTGTATGCTCAGCTGCCGGATGCGTCTCGCTCGGGTTCACAGATCCTCGGCCCTGTGACCGGACCTCGCTTTCTGGTGTTCAAGCAGGTCCGACCTGACCGATGCCTGACTGGTGTAACCAGGAAGAGACGAGGATGGAAGTCTTAAACGCCCGAAAATCGGTCGAAAAACAGCCTTTCGAGTGCACGAGTTCGGTTGGAGTACCAGACAGGCTGATCGACCAGGGCAATGGAGCGGTAGTATTAGGCCATATGATATGATTGAAGGTACCTGGACAAGCAGACCAGACCTTGACATCCTCCGGCCATGGTCTCCAACAGTGACCACAGGCAACACTGACGTCTCCAAACGCACCACGTGGACAATAGGCTGCTTCTCTTATGCGCTCCCCTGCAAAACGCCCGGGGTGTTCAGAGATCAAATTTAACATAGAACAAGACCAGATTAGAGTCCTTCCACCCCTCTGGATTTTGAGAGGAAAGTAAGATCACAAGACTTTGGTCAGCTTGTTGGGCTTGCCCTCTTCGTTCAGTCCTGACAGGCTGGGAAGCAAGCAGTCAGCAAACAACCTCAATCCGGAAGAGAGGCAGGAGTTGATACGGGTGGGGTGAAGGCGGGTGGAGGCTAAGAGACTGCCAAAATGCAATTGTGGCGAGCCAGGCCATTTGGCCCCAATTTTCGAAAGCCACCGAAATGCAAGCACTATGGCAGGTCAGACCAAATTATTTGCCATTCTGGATTTACTTTCAATGGATCAAGAACTTGTGACCTCACATGGGCAGAGAGTGCACGATACTTCCTGTATATTGTTTTCCATGAGTCTATGAGCCAATTCAAAAGTTGTTGTTCCATGATAGGCTTGATATTTTTCATGATCCAGCAAGAGTGCTTGGCTGCCCATGACCAACCACAATGGATGAAATTCTTGACATCAAATCCTCCATGGTGCATGCCAATCCTCCTGCTTGACTCCCCTGCATTCTCTTTTCCCGCGAGTTCTCTGGTCGCGACGAAGCGAACCCCCAGTTCCCGGCTTCATACCTTCGCAGCGGAACTGCGAAGGTTGTCCCGGAAACAGCCCGTCACACCCTTGGAGGTCGGGTTGCAGTGGCGAATGCACACCCCGCTTGGTGGCCTCTCTGGGCGAACGCCGCACGTCCGTCCCCAGCCGTGTGCGGCGATGGTTCGGGCAACAGCGCGCGGTACATCCATCGTTGCTGCTGCATGGCTTGCGGGTGGCTGGGCGTGTGGAAGACGGGAGAAGGGACCTGTTTCAGAGGGAATGTATGTTAGAACATACTGGAACTCACATACATTCATGGAACATACATTGTATGTCTGCCCACCTAGGAACTTTTGGAACTTCTTGGATTGAGATTTCTTTCATCCTCGGACCATGTCCCAGTCCCCTCGATGTTCGTCACCGGCACGGGCATGTCTGCCGGCTTGGTTCGGTTAACCCTTTGACTGTTTCAGTCCGTTGAATCGAGGGGATACCGGGAGACCTACAGGTGAACGGTCGCCCCCAACGCCGCTCGGGAGGCTCCGAAGCAATCGTCCCCAGTGGTGAGCAAAGGGTCGAAGTGAATGGAACAGGTGCTGGGAGCATGGGAGAACAAGCTAGCAAGAACCATTGCGCTCTAGAAGTGGAGCTGATCTATGCACAGAGGTGTTGTTTCCATTGCATGTTCGAGATCTATCAATTCATTGCTACTCTCATAGGTCGTAAGCAGCTTGATGGGCTTGATGGACAAGCAGACAAGGAGCACCCCCCCGATGAACCTCCCGGCATCGAACCCCCCCAACCTGGGGAACCTGACGTTCGTTGCCGTCTTAGAACATGGTCTTCACATCGCATCCGGGAAGAGGTCCACCCTGCAGCGTGTGGGTGTGAGGTTTTCGATGGTTTTCGTCTAGAGTCTAGGAGGGGTTTCCGGAGGGTTTCGCCCACCACGGGAGACCGCAGACCCAAGCAGTTCCAACATGGTAGGCTGGAGAGTCTTCTTTGCATCTGCCCAGACGCTCCAAACAGCCCTTGGTCCCTCAAAACCTAGGGATTTGAGACCCCAGACCCCTCCATATGAGGGTCCAGGGTCGCGTCTGGGTGGACATCCACGTCACCATAAGGTGATGCCCTTCTCGTGCCATCTTTCTGCGATGGCCATTATCAGTGCCTTTGCTCATCATGCAGTCGAAGTCGCACCACCATTACTGTATAATCACGATAAAATGTATATGTACATTTTAATACATTTACATTACGTCACATTACTTTACTTTACACTACATTGCTTTACATACATGCATTTAATAGCCTAATCCCGAACAACCCTTATTTTGCGGATTTGACACTACAAGACCAGATCGTTCGTTCCCAATTGGTCGAACAGACTTCCAGGCCACACCTGCACGTCGCGATCAGTTCCCCCGGTGGTTGGTTCGTGTGACAGGTCCGATCAAGTTCCGTTCCACGGTGCCACACGTGTGGCGACCGACGCGACGGTGCCACAGCGTGTTTCGAGCAGCGTTGGCATAGCGTTGCTATACCAGCCACACAGAAGATTGCGAGTAAGGTAGCAACAAGGACCTTTTCACAACAGGTGGCTTGTCAGCTTGTGTTTCATTTCTGTTCGCCCAGAATGTGAAGAGTGGAGCAAGGAATCCCCAGCCAGGTTGTAGGAAGTTGTAGTAACAATGGGCCATTAGGCCATCGCTATTAGGTTGGAGGCCATTCGCTAGCTCCCGGACCCGTCTTACGGTGTCATGAGGGGCGTCCTCGTGTTCTCGTTCACCCAAGGGTCACGAGTGGCATGGGAACCTCCTTGCATGCTTCCATCGTGAATTGGTCTCCCAGAAAACACCAGGATCCAAATGCTTCGAAGCTTCTTGGACCAGAAAAACCATCAGTTACGGTCACGTGGATGGCCCCGAGATTCGGATTGGATCAAATCGGACCAAACTCAGGTGACTTGGAGAGTGAATTCCTAATGCGACCCCAGATGGAAGGCAATCCTTTGTTGAAGCCTACGACCACCCCATCGCCTTTGGAGTCGGTCGATCCCAGTCCTTTTGTAGGTGAAGTAACCCTGAGCTTCTTGAACACCACGGTGGGGCCTGCTTTTCTTCGTGGCCTCATCGAGACACCCTGTGAGCCTCAAGACTTTGACGTTTTAGTGTCAATCTGGTGGCCTTGCCCGATGATATGCTGACTGGCGGGGTCTGCCAGCTTCTAGCAGGTATTGACTGACCCAACGGAATGAAGACTTGTTCTTTGTGAGGAAGATGGGTTTTGTGTTTATTCAGGCCCGGACGGGTTTTGTGTTTCCAATTTCTTTTGGGTCTTTCAAAGACATGTGAATCCAGGGTCTGAGATCACAACTTGTGATGATGACCGGATCGAATTCGGACCATGAGACCGATTGCAAGCGGAGACGGCTTCTCACGTCCCGAAGGTGTTTAGCCCAACTCTTCCGCGGCAGCAGTGCGGACGAACTCTTCAGGTGGTGTGCCTCCTAAAAGGACGAAGGTTGATTGTCGATCATAACACCCCCCATCTGCATTTTTCATTAAACAGTCGACCTAGGAGGATTTTGATTCATTAACAGTCAACCTTCGATGACACGCCCTTTTTGATGGCTGGGTGAGTAGGTTTCCCAGGCGCACCAGGTAGTTTTCCACGTCTTACCCGCAGGCCTCATCCGATCAATCGCCTCGAGGGCGTTTCAGCAAAAAAGGTGCGATCGGGGGACCGCGCATCCTGGGTATGTAGCTCAGACCACGGGAGACGCCCCAGACAATGACCCAGCCAGGGCGCCAGGGCCAGGAGACCTCACTCGAAAAATAGGAAAACACACACACCCGCACACACACACACACACACCCATTTCTTGGGACGTCCAAGCCACTTGAGACTTCGAATGGCCTGGCAACCATAATGACCGAACTTGACCGAACGGTGGTGCCAAAGCTCGTCTTCACTGAAAAGGGTTCCCTTGGTGTCACACCTCCGTGTGACACATCTAGCTGTCCACTTTGGGGAGCTGCTTCCACCACAGCTGCTTCCACCTCCTCCGTGGGAGCTTCGAAGCATCTCAACTCCTCCGTCAACGGTTCCGGACGTCTGGCGGCCGACTGGTCCAGCGGTCGAAGCGAAGGGGGACGGCAGGGACGGCAGGGAAACGGGGAGGCGTTCGTTCTGAACGGCATCCACACTGGAAAGACTCCCGAAAACCCAAGCAAGATGCTTCTACCAGGACCTTCCAACAGGTGGTTTTTGGGCACTCCTTGACCTCTAAGAGGCTGTTTATAGACACCTCTTGGAAGGTCCTGGTATAGGATGCTTTTAGATAGGTTTTCATTTTTTTGAGAGGCCCTCTTGACGTCGGGAGTTTCAAGATTTCGGGCTGGGCGTGGAATGGCCGAGACCCCCAACTCCATGGATGGCCGAACTGGCTTTTCTTTGACACCCATTCCTCTATGGAAACGTATGGGAGAAGTACACTCCCTGGAATCATCCATGGGAGCATGTGGAACATGGTCCCGATTTCGACTCGGAGGACGAAATCCGAAGAGCCTCCATGGTGGTGAGTGTATCTCGTGTATCTTGCTTTTCCAGGTGTGCCAGGTGTGTCGTCGTCTTCAGAAGATGAGCTGACTTCGGCCAACGTTGGGCGTTTTTCAGCCAAGTTGGGCCGACTTGGCCGAAACATGAGAAGGATGAGAAGGACAGAGAACAGCACATGAGCAGTTCATGGTCATAAAGGCTGTTTGCTTCTGCGCGCAAAGAGGATGATAGAGGGTGAAAGTACCAAGAAGCCAGTGTCAAGTGACCTAAGGGGGTTGAACGGTGCCCCGGAAATACCAGCTGACCCACCGACCGCAGAGTTCATCTGCATGTGCTTGCCTGATGTAGCTGAACGGCACATGCCATGGATGCTCCTCTGCAGGAGGTGCCAGGGTATTCCATCCCTGGTACCTTCTATAGCAGTGTTCCCTCCACAAATTACGAGGTGCCTCCGACTCGAGGAATCTTGGTCGACAGCAGCTACGATCGCCCCGGTGCCTATGGACTGTACTCGACGCCCTCCACTCGATACGAGGTGCCTCCCACGGCGGAGGCTCCGATGACCTATGCTGCCCCGGCCGTGGCCGCTGGAGCTTATGGAGCGACGCACATGACGCCGGTGAGCACCTTCTCGAACCTCTCTTCGACGAATGAGGCGACCAACCGAACCCGGCGGTGGCGGTGGAGAGGGATGGCAAGAACCCCTCAACACCTGCTGAAGACAGTGTCGACCAACACGTCAAGATAGTTCACACTCGCTGTGTGGGCCAACCATAACTCATTTCAATCCATTTCCTCCGACCCTCCGACATGGCTCTCCAAAGACCTGCCAAGTCAGGCTTCAGATGCCGGCGCATGGATACACCACCCTCCCCCTCACCGAACCACGCGTGGATTCCACGCGCGTTTTGCTTCGCGAGGCTTCGATGACCTATGCTGCGCCCGAGCTTCGCTCGCCCAATCCCTACGGCACGGCGCCCGCCTCGCCGGAGCCCACGGTGGGGCTGGACGCCACGGCGCACGCGTTCGCTCGCAGCCCCGAGCCGATCTCCGTGGCGCTGCGATCACCGGAGGCGCGGCTTCATGAGACAACCAGACCATGACATGGTGGACAATTGGTGCCTCAAAAGGGACAAAATCAAGGGTCGACACCCTTTGGCACCGCCCCCACGACGCCTCCACGGCCCAGGCCACGACGCCCCCGCCGCGGGGCTCCGAGACGCCCACGACGTTGCTGGGCGCGACGCCCCTGACGCGGACGCCGCAGCCGATGGCCTCCTGGGCGCCGCCGTCCGTGGCGTCCTTCGCGCCGCCGTCCGTGGCGCCGGGCACGGCGCGGGGGCCGCGGTCGGTGCGGCAGGTGCCAATGCCGAGCCGGATCATGAAGGAGAGAATGATGGGGAGGGGATGGAAGGGAGAAGTTCAGAACACTTGAGTTTGGGCTCATGATGGACACCCCACGGCAAAAGATCCTGAGGACACGCTCATTTTGGTGACACTTGCAGATCATTTGCACAATTGAAACCAAGCAATGGTGCAATCCAAACCGCCCAGGCCATTTGCTTCAGTTCATTCCACCATTTTTCCGTGGCAGGACCACGAGAACGCCACGGTCACACAGCACCACGCGATGGTCATGGCAAGTAAGGAGTTGGAGCTTCGAGGTGTTCAAAGAGTCCAGCGGAACCCCTTAGGGAGGCCCTTTTGTTTCACATGTGTGATCGCCTGGGTAGGCTCGTAAGAATGCCCATGGTCATGGCAAGTAAGGAGTTGGATGGAGCCGCATGGAGTCTTTTTTCGAAACATACCGAGTCGAGTTCTTAGAGGTTTCACCTTGGGTGTTTGATGATGTTTGGATCAACCGTGGGCGGTGTCTGGACCACCAATGAGTCTGTTGGACTCCACCCTGGACTGTTCGAGAGCGTCGAACTCGACGGCTGTGCCGATGCGCAGCGTCTCTGGCGCCAGCGATGCCCCAGCTGAGCCACTCTTTGGCTGGCAACCCCCTCGGCTTCTTCTCGGTGCGATCCGGGGATCGTCCTTTTTTAGTTGTCGGTGCGAGCGGAGGAACTGCATCTGAAGGAAGCCAATGAGCTTGAGATACTTATTCATAGTGGGTTTTTCCCGAAAGATGGCTTGATGGTTTCACTAAGGAAAAGACGATGGATTGGAACAGCACCGAACACCACTTATATACTGTATTTTTCTCCCGGATTTTCCGCGGATGGAACTTCAACGTCTTCTAGTGGAACCTTCCTTTTTTGGGAACGAAGGAAGCTGCCAATTCACCATCCCTGGACAAATCGTTGCGAGTTGGGACCACCGGTGGACCGTCTTTCAGGTTCGAGGGACCGAACCTCGGATTGAGCTGCGACCGGACGTCGTTCGCCACGCGTGACCGAGCTCTCGACCGATCAGAAGCGATGCCACGCGGTCTGTAAGATCTCTTACTCATTAAGGCTCTGTTCGATAGCTTCTTGCTCCTTTTTTGAGTCGCGATGGCCAGGAGCTTCGTAGCTTCGTATAGCTTCATGTTCCGCTCGTTGTCCGAGGCCCCAAAGGCTCCGTTCGTCGCGTCGGGAGCGATCTTCCGTTCCGTTCGTAGCGTCCGTGCCTTTCGACGAGACGAGAACCGGCGCGCGAGACGTGCGATGGGAGGAGCAGGCGCCTCCCGAAGTGCATTCAAGCCGCACGCGGGAGGTGGATGGTGCAGCACAGGTGACGCAAGAGCACCGGCAGCAGGTGGTGAATGGTCGCTTGGCTGCCAAACCGACCGGATTTTTGGGGGTTCCAAGGCAAGGGTTTTGGGAAGGCGGGGCATGAGGTGGTTGGGTGAGAGCAAGAAGTGTGGTGAGGGTGAGATGATTCCTTGTGTTATATATATAAAAGATTACTGTAGATTCATATTTTCTGGGCCTCGCTCTGGTCGAATCATGTCGAATTTGGCAGGTGCAGGAAATTCTTGTACTGATGATTTAACTCTCATTGAACTGCAATTGGAAAGGAAAGAGGACTGCATACAGTACTGACAGGCTTCGCCCACCGGCGATGCCCTTTGGGGGACTGCGCGTATCCGGAGGCTCCTTGCTCAGCAAAATGCGACGATAAGCACAGCTTCTGACGCCTGCACACTCCCACACAGGTGATGGAAAAGCCAGGCAACCTGCGCACGGCTTCTTCTAATATCAGGGCTTTGTAGTGGAAAAAAGGCTGGACAAATTGTATTTTTGACTATCACTGAGCACTTTCTAGCCTAAAGCTATTTGCGTTTAGGCTAGAACATGCTCAAAAATACAGTCCAAAGTCCTGATATTGGAAGAAACCCAGGTGGTGCTAGAAGTGTCGGCCGCAAACCGACATTTTGAACATCACCGGGACGTGTGTATTTTCTTCAAAAAGCGTCAAAAAAGCATAGTGAAAATGATAAGAAATGGCTACCGTAAAGCTCTATCTCCAGAGAAGAAAGTACGCTGTCCCAGGCGCCGCCCCGCCTAGTTGTCAGCTGGGCAGGGGTCGGCGGATATACAAACCAACCATGAGTCAAATGATGTCTTGATTAAATTCGAACCTCCAAATTCATAGACACAACACATGCTTGCCGCTCCCGGTTACACGAGCCCGACGTGGAGCCCGTGATTCACTGCAGGTGATGTGCACGAGCAGGTTGTCGAGGTGCCAAACGTGCAAGTTCAGGAGACCGACGTTGGAAAGAACTGGTCACCGACATCAAACAACACAGCAGAGTCTTTGATGCGGTGTGTAGTCAAAGCCCCGTTTCAAGAGGTGCTGGGTGTCGATGAAGCACCGGCCCGGGGGCTCTGGTATTTCAGGATTTTGAAAGGGACTGGGGGTGAGATTTGGCAAACTTCAACCACCAGCACCCTCCTGGCCAGGCTGTTAGTTGAGGGTTGTTGGACCCTGTCTCAGGTCTCAATTGGTGACCTGTAGAGTCGGGTCCTGGCAAGGCGTGTGACTGGGACTTGTGTACCTGGTGGAGAGAACTCTTTGTGGGAACCCGCTGCATTTACAGCTGTGCGGACGGGCCAGCCGCCGAAGGTGGTGGCTTACTTTTTGGGGGTGTGAGAAGGTGGAGAGACGAGTGTCCCCACAAGCTACAGTTGAATTGAAAACCCTGAAAGAGATGGAAGTGTTATGAAGTGTTTTTTCATCCTGATCGAATCTACAGTGATGGCACGTTTCCCCCAAGAGGTCCTAGACAGACGGGGGGTGCATATAAACCACCAAACTTGGGGGCGCTTGTGCCATCAAACCTCTGAAACCACTGTAGAACTAGAACAGAACTCTTGTGTGGAGTCCTCCCTCTTGAGCACAGAAATCAAATCGAAGAAACAGCATAACAGTTTAAGCAACTGCCAGCAGACCCACAGCAGATCAAATCCGTTTCTTGCACACTGACGAGGTTCGTATAAAGGAGCTCGAAACTAGTGACCAGACTTGGAAGGTTGGAGGGCACCATGCCCCGTTCTTGTGTGAAAGCAAGCTGGGCCCATTGGAATGTGGGAGTTCAATTGCTGCTGGGATGTGGCCTCAGCAGAGTTTCCGGTGCGGAGCTGAATCAGTTGGTGATCTTTCTTCCGATGAAGGCGAGCTACGAATAGCGGAGCTGAATGGCCCCGGCATGACCACATTCTAAGCTGAACAGGTATCAACATGCATAAACACCGCACCCATCCCCATCTTCTCAGAAATGGGTTAGTTGCAGGATCCTGCTATTTGGCTGTTGCACTGGGGAACCATCCCCAGTTCCACGAAAAACCACTCTGGTTGGGATCTTGTTAGGTCTTGAGCTGATCCGTGTGGGCTTGACCTTCCATTCAAGTCAACAAGATCGTCTTCCCTGGAATTCTAGGGATGGGAAGGATCCCCTCCTTCCCCCCGCTTGGCAACCGCAGGAGATCGTCCAGGAGATCCCTGAGGTGCAGATTGTTGAGAAGCTGGTCGAGGCGAGCCAATCGACGGAGAAGACCGGTGTCCAACGAGGAAAGACGGGTGTTTCAGGTGAGGGTCGAGTCGACTGCGCCGCTTCCAAGCTTGGAACACCTGGGACAAACCTAGGATCTCCTTCACGGAGGTTAAGCGGTGTCCATGAAAAAAACCTCTTATATAAGAGGTCAAGGGTGGTCCATGACCACCCCGAAGTTGGGAGGCGCAGGCAGATTGCCTTGTTGGTGACGAGACTGGGAGCTATCGCCTTGGGTCGGGGCATCTGGGATCGAACGCCGACAGAACTTCATTCATCCCCTTCAGCTACATACAGTAGCTCAAGTAGCTCAAGTAGCTCGCTTTCCGATGACAGGTCCCTCGTATAGTGAAGCAGCCGCTGGAGCACGTGGTGGAAGAGATCATTCACGTGCCCAAGGCCGGGGCAACACGTTTGGAAGGCGATTTGACGCCTGACAGGCCATCCACGGGGCACCATGGATCCACAGGGCATGTGTGGTTGGGCTGTTGGCCCCAAGACAGTTCGGGCACCAATCCAGTCACCCACACAGGTCAGTTCAGACAACTCGATCCCATAAGCACTCGTTTTCACAGTGCCTCCATCTCTGGGTCGGACTTCCATTTCTTTGGGTCACGGCCCTCACCTCATCCTCCCCCGATGGCGACCCCGCGCGCAGCTCAGAGCTGGCGGATGCGTTCGGAGCTGGCCGAGGTGGTGACGCAGGAGCGCCTGCGCCAGCGCCCCGTGGAGCAATTCGTGGACATCCCCGTGCCGATGCCGCAGGAGGCGGGAACCGGGCTGGGCGGTGGAAGAGGGAGAACACAAAGGGCTCAGAGCCTTAGGGGGTTGGAAGAGGAGAGGGAGGGGGCTTTAGGAGGTGAGGATGGCGCGCATTGACGCCTTGCCCGTTGGCTTGTTGTGTGCTTTTGCCCGCCAACACACACCTGCTTGACCCCTGCTTGACGATTCAAGTGACCCATGAGACCATTCCCGTGCAGCAAGCACATCCCTCATTGGAGGAAAACAGGTCCAAACCCGCCTTGGTGCCACACAAGGGCCAAGGATTTCTTGAAAAAGAGAAGAAGACCCTAAGATCCAAAGATCCGTGCGTTTTTGGGAGTTTTCAGTCATAGAATCGGAATCAACCCCACGCCCGATCAAGCCAGCAAGCCGACTGACTTCTCGCGGTTACGCCGCTGGGACCCCGCAGGTAGGCCTGGCCGACTGCTCTCTTAGATGGGCGAGAGCCCCACGCCCTTGCTTGCTTGATGACTGGGGATTTTCGTTGTGAACTGGCTTAATAGGAGGTATGGAAACTGACATTCGACCCTCGACCCCATCAGTTTCTTCAAAGGACCTCATCAGTTTCTTGCTCTGCAGGAGATCGTCCACGTGCCTGTGAAGGAATATCAAGATCGCCATCATCATGTGGAGGCCATTGACTCGCCTCAAAAAAACATCAAAAAGCCATAGGGAGACATCATCCATTTTGGGAGAAAAAGATGGGTGAGGAGGTGGAGGTGGTTGATTTGGGTCGCTACTTGGATTTGCGCTTGGGTGGGAGGAACATGGTGCTTGTCGCGACTTCGGTGGCTGTGCCTTCTTTGCTGTGAGAAAGAAAGATCCTCAGAAACGTCTGAAGGTATGAGAAGGTTACCTAACAGACCTAGCATCGAGTGCTGGAGAGCCAGGTGATTGTTGATTGTTGCTTGCAATGGCTTCCTGACGTGGCTTCCTTCGGTGTCCACGAGTTACAGGAAGCTTCTGTGGCTTCCCGATCTCAAGGAGCTCCTTCCCAGTTTGCAGGTGAAACCGTTTATGCCCTACGGCTCCAACCATATCCTCAGAAGGTGGTTAGACCACCCTGGCACCCACCCCAACCACCTTCTCAGGAGGTGGTTGGAGCCCTAGGGATGTTTCTTTTTAGCGCGCGAGGTCGAACAGTTCATTGACGTCCCCGTGCCCATTCAACAAGAAGAAGTGGTGCAAGTTCCTGTGGTGGTGCCGCAAAAGCGTATCGTCCAACAATCTGTGGAGCAAACCGTTGAGGTGCCCGTTTCAGCAGCCGGGCCTGATGTTTTGGGTGCCGCGGCGCGGCGTTCGATGTGTTTGCATGTGACTCCAGCGATTTGGAGCTTGCCGCAACACGTGCGGGAACTCTCTCTCTATAATGGACTTTCTTTGTTTTTAAGGTTCCAGAGGTCTTTTGAGGGGTCTCCCTATTCTAATACACAGCCACGTGTCACATTTCTGCGTCAGAGTACAGCCCTGGAAGCTAGATTTATATAGCTAGATAACTTGCTTCCGTGACTTTCGTGGCTCTGAGAAGCTAGATGACCTTTGCTGATTTGCGAGTTTTTGACATACCAAAGAGATCCAAAGAGGCTGCCGGGCCACGCCTTGCAACGGGCAGTGGTGTCTAGGAATTCTTGTCTAGGATTGAATCAATATTAGTACCTTCATGTACCTTCTGGGTTCTTGTCACAAGACATCCATGGTGTCGCCCTCTACATGTCCTCCTTTTCAGCAGAGCACTTCGGCATGCCCCTAAACCCTCCGTCGCCCCCGTCGGAGCTTGCCATCACCCAGGTCACTCATGAGGAGATCGTGCATGTGCCGCGGGTGGTCTATCAACATCGCCATCACCATGCTGAAGTGGAGCAGGCGACGGTCTCCGTGCGATCCCGGGGGCCGGCCGTAGGGACTGGAAAAGGAGCGTCGGAGATGCGTTGGGGAGGTTTGGGAGTTGGATTGTTAGATGGCTTTGGGGTACGAAGCAGTTCTTTCCGCTGCTTGAGGTCCTTTTTTGGGAGAAAGAAGGTGTCGACATCATGTTCGGTGTGCAAAAGCTGTCAGACCAGAGCCCTTTCAGGTGGTAGAATCCATCTCGTTCTGAAAGAACAGTTGGATTTGGTCCACCAAGAGCATCAAATACATCATATATACCAGGACCTTCCAACAGGTGGTTTTTGGGCACTCCTTGACCTCTAAGAGGCTGTTTATAGACACCTCTTGGAAGGTCCTGGTATGAGCCTGTTTTTTTTCAAGCTATAGGAACGCGAAGGTTTGATACCAGTCAGAATCCTGTAGGTGTTCTTCATTCCCACTTCTTTGGATCTTCGAAAACTGAGGAGACGCATCCGGTTCCAAAATCACCTCCCGGCTTCGCGAAGACTCTCTCTATCCCTTGGACCTCCCATTTCGTGGCTCCCGGCATCGGCTCCGAGAACCCACGTTCATCGCGCCCGGCTCCACCCACGGACATCCCGCGCGTCCCGCTCGTTCTCAGGTGGTGGATCTCCATGTGCCGCACCACATCGAAGAAACCGTGTCAGTGCCCTGGTGATCTCCATGTGGCTGCTTTCGCCGGTTTTCCCCTGGATTCTCCACGGAGGGCATCTTAAAATCAACCGCCCCCTGCTCTAGTCCTGCTCTGTTTTCCCCAAAGAATGAGGTCCTCATCCCCCCACCCTCCTGTGCTGGGACGCTTAGCTGGGGCTTTGGCCCACCTTCGCTGGTTTGGGCCCACTCCCAGGTGCCCAAGCTGATCCAAAAGGAACGACTGCAGCTTGGTGGGTCAGACGACTCGCTTTCGAGGGACCGATGGACGGAAACTCAATGAGGCTCATGAGGTACAGGAACTGCCTCCTGTCCCATGAGGTCTCTTGCACCGGTGCCCGGGGGGTGCTGGGACCGTGTCGGGCGTCGTCGCCGAAACGTCCCATGCGTCGTCGCGCGTTCGTCCCAAGAGTTCGGAAAGGCGAAAGTCCCACAGCGACGCGGACTGGGTGGATTTTGGGTGGGACTGGGAGAGGTTTGGAGGGGGTTGAGAAGGTATTTGTGTTCTTACAAGGCCCTCTACCTGGTGCTTACAAGGACTCGCGTGGGCGGACGCTGAAGGTCAGAGGGAACAGGGGTTGTGCAGGACTGCAAAGTGACGAGCAAGAGGGTGCAAAAACTGATGATATTCTGAAGGTGCTACTACTACTCACTACTCTTATGTAGATGAAAGAGTTCAACACTGCCACCTTGGAAACATTTCCAGCAGAATATCCAGCATTTCGCCCTTTTCATCGTGCTTGGCGATGTGGATGCCTGAACAAGCTCCTCAGGATCCATCAGAATGTGGAGCAGATCGTCGAGGTGGTCGCTGTCGCCCGATTCTTTTCTCGTTCGTTCGTTCGTTCCTTCCTTCCTTCCTTCCTTCCTTCGTTCCTTCCTTCCTTCGTTCCTTTCCACTTTTCTATTGCGCTTGATGGTTGGGGCCAAGAGTCTTTCGGCTAAGTGTTGATAGAAGTGCGTTTGATGCCTCCTCGGTGAGTGGGCAAAGATAACGAGACCTTTCTGGGAGAGTTATATTTTGACCACTCAAAAGCCTTCTGTTCACCTGGTTCTTCCAAGTGAGCAGATCAGCAGATCCCGAGGTCAGGCAGGCTTTCGGTGATCTCGCCCAGAGATGTTCGATTCGCTCGCGAAACCACCGCGACCAGCTGGGCGGCTCTGAACACCTTGGAAGAGACCCACATGGAACCTGAACAACGACTGGTCCAGCTGGAGGAAGCTAGTCTTCCTTTCAGGTCCATTTTCAGGTTCCATGCCTGGTGTATCCTCCAAGCTGCCAGAAGGCTGGTGACGAAGGGTGTGATACACGATAGAGACGCGCGTCCGGGTCGCGCGGAACTTGCTGCTGTGCAGCAGCGGTTGGGGTTAGGCGAGGATTTTCACGGTCCAGGACACTCCAAAGTCCAAGGATTCTGTAAATGAACCATTCTTCTCCCTACTACTAGTAACAAGAAGCTACTGGGTTGGAGGCCATTGCTATTAGGTTGGAGGCCATTACTACTAGAAGCTGGTTTCCTGGGATGACTGCCTTGACCACCTCCCACAGCTGGTCCACTTCCTTTTGGGGGATTCGATTTCGGCCCCGCGGGAACCAGTGTGATTTCGACCCCTCGCGCAGGTGCCAGTGCCCATACCGCAAGAGACGATTGTGCAGGTTCCGAAGGTGACCTTGCAAGAGCGTCGCTGGCCGGAAGAGCGGCGGCGGAGGCGGTGGGTCCTGTTCTGTCCTTACTGGTGTGGTCTGCGACCCGAGTCCGAATTTTGTTCGGTTGGGACTTCTAATGTGAAAGGAGCTTTGAAGGTCCGTTCCTGAGGCCAACCTCTCCTGTAGCTATTGAGTCTTAAGGTGTCTTAAGGTCCTGCATGTCACAGATCCCCTTTCCAGAGAGGAACCAGGAAAACACCGGGTGCCCCGAGGTCCCGTTCGGTCAGAACCCTTGACTCGGCGACTCCGTGAGCGGCTGATCCTCGGGTCTCAACGTCCAGGTGTTCGGTCGTGGCCGGAGCGATCGGACGCTACGCACGGAGCATTTCGGGCATCGCGACTCGAAGGGAGCGATCGGACGCTACTAGCAATCCAATCAGTTTGGCCTTCCTATGCCGATTCTCAACCGTTTGCTGAATCGTTGGTGCGTTGCGCATGCCTGGGCGAATGCCTGGGCACCAAACACAGAGTGATGTCGTGAGCCCTAAGCATCGTGTGCTGATTCCTCTTTGACATGCAATTCTGCTGTTTGTAGTTGACTTGTGTGGAGATGTTTTTCGCTTCCAGCCCTACCCAACAAGAGCAATGGTGCCGGGTGAGTGGTGGTCCACCTTGATCGCCGTTCCCCCGAATAGTTCTTGTCACACCATTGGCCGGGTGTGGGGCGCAGCACGAGGACATGTGGTGAAATTACCCGGCAGTGTTTCCTGAAGCACCGTTGGGTGTTTTACCTGGCGGTGTTTCCTGAAGCACAGTTGGGTGTTGAATGCTCAGGCTGGACTGAACCCATCTATATAGTTCAGTCTTGCTTGTTCTCTCCTGGGTGCTGTCCCCCATGGGTCAGCATCCGATCATGACCCATGTAAAGGCGCTTGAGGCCAACCCACTTGGTGCCAAAGTGGATGACAGTGAGACGATGGGCTACTTGTGCTCACTGGGCGCCTTTTGCTTGGACGGCTAGTAGCAGTCTGAAGCACCTCGTGCACAAGGAGGGGAGGCCGTTGATCCGAGGACTACGACGCTTGAGCACGTGTGCAGGTTCTTCATCGCACGGGTTTTGTACAGCCTGTTGTTGTACACTTCATGCCCCTACGTCATCCGAGGCAAGAGAGCGAAAGAACGGGAAAGGTTATGAAGATACGCGCAATGTGTGCCAAGTTCTAAGAGTGTTGGTACTTTAAGCTTGCCAGGGACAGGTGCGTGGGAGCGAGGGAAACACATCAGTTTGATTGCCATCCTATGCCTTCCAGAATCTCGACCGTTTGCTCATGGAATCGTTGGTGCGTTGCGACCCTGAGTCATGTCGCGAGCCCTAAGCATCGTGCGCTGATTCTTCTTTGACATGCAATTCTGCTGTTTGTAGTTGATTTGTGTGGAGATGTCTTTTTGCTTCCAGCCCTACCCAACAAGAGCAATGGTGCCGAGTGAGTGGTGATCTACCTTGATCGCCATTCCCCCGAATAGTTCTTGTCACACCATTGGCCGGGTGTGGTGCGCAGCACGAGGACATGTGCAGACAGCCAGGTACGGTTTGCTGAGTCAATCAGCAAGCGCCGTTGGAGAAATGCTGGACTGGATATATTTTTCAGAAATGGAGTTCAGTTTGGCTTGTTCTTCGATGAGGGCTCTGTCCCGGGGATGAGACAGCAGCCATGTCTTCTTGTATTTTCTTGCACATGTGAAGGCGCTTGAGGCCAACCCACTTGGTGCCAAAGTGGATGACAGTGAGACGATGGGCTACTTGTGCTCACTGGGCGCCTTTTGCTTGGACAGCTAGTAGTAAAGCACCTCGTGTTTACCGGAAGGGGAGGCTTTTTGTTCAGCCAACAAATTTATCATCGGCGGTTCCGCAATTTTTCATAGTCTTGCCCTCATATTGAGCCAGGCTCAAAATTAGTGAAAGTGACGAATAGTCCGTGAGTGGTCATGGGAGTTCAAAAGGCATGTTTTGTTCAAAAAAGCGATTAACACACTCACCAAAAACGATAACTTGACGGATGTGAACAACGATAATGCACTCACCGCATCCTGATGACCTGATGACTTCACCACAATTTTTGACCATGGTTCATATACCTGGAGTCTCGATGTACCACATCAAATGGAGTCCAAGTCCAAGTACCTTTCTCTTTTTGCTGGCGTCATCTGCAGGGATTGTCGCATCGGAGCTCCGGTGGTCGGAGCTCTGGAGCTCCGGAGCAACCAGCTGCCCCTGTGTCCCAAAGAGACTCGCAGGGGCTGCCGCGGGACACCGCTAGACATGGATCCCCAGCTAGCCAGCTGGATACAAACGGTATAGCTATGTATAGCTGTTTGAAGAGATGGACTGACCACTGATCAAGACTCTACCATACAAAAGGTTTATATTTTGAACAGAGATCTCCTGCCCATTTCTCTGATTTTTAGAACCCTGAACCCTCCGCTAGCGCTAGGGGCCGGACCCGAATCCTCCTCGGGGTCAGGGGCCTGGACCTGGCTTTCGAGGCTTTCGAGGGACCGGGATCTCGGCCGTCGGCGTGTGCTCTCTCGGCCCATCCGAGAGCGACGAGGTAGCAACGTGGTACATGTGGAGCACGTGATCGATATCCCGGTGCCGCACACCGTGGAGGACACGAAGAAGACGAGCCGTCGTGTATGTTTTTGGTGGGAACAAGCGTGGGGTTTTACCTGCAAAAGGAGGATGATTCAGTCCATGAATGAAGGCCTCACGTGAGAAAGAAGGAACTCAAACCATGGAAGAACCCTGAGAGGCAAAGACGGTACAGAGAATGGCCTTTAGAGTACCTCATCAGGACACTTCCTTTTCTTCAATGGGGCAAAAATATCGTCTTTCGACTTCTAGGGAGAAGGCACATCCAAACCCATCTCTTTTTGCGTTTTCGTGCAGTTGTGGATAGAAGATTATTTTTGGAAGCAGGTGACTTTTGAGCGACTTCATGGCGCGCTGCTTTGGGTTTTGACCTGGCCGAAATGCTCCATAACAAGAAGAAATGTATGCCCCATCGACGGCTGAATGTATCCAAAGGTAATGTATGGAAATGTAGGTCAATCTGCCAGACTTGCAGTGTTTTTTTCTTTGTGCTTCATTTTTTAAGCACCTCTCACCCGAACCCACGCTTTTGAACTCACTGTGTTTAGCGGTCCAGGAAGTGGTCCAGGTGCCCATTGTCCAAGTGGAGGACCGAGTGACGTCGGTGAGCGGTCGGTTGGGTAAAGGGACCCAGTGGACTGCAGTGGACACGTACCACGAACCGGCGGTCGAAGACATGTCTTCCGGCGAGTTTTGGTTTGTTTCGGAAGACATGGCCGGACATGAACTGGAAGAGGTGTTTGGTGTTTTGGACATAGCGCGTCATGGTGGAGGACTTCCAGTAAAATTTCAGTCAAAGGCCAACTTGAATGGGAGTGATCCACGACCATCTCTGGCAATCTGGGGGAGGAGTTTCTCAGCGCAAAGCTTTTGCGACGGTTGAAGGTGGAGTGAGTGTGGACCAGATCGTGCGACCTGGCGTGCCCATGATCTCCTCACCTCGACATGCAGACGTCAAGAGCTTAGCTTTCACCAGGGATGACTGGCTGGATCAAGGTTTTGGAGGATCCCCAGGAGCTTTTCAGCGACCCAGCAGCCCAGGAGCTTTTCCAGTGACCTAAAACCTCTCAGTCGTCAGCTTGGAAGAGCGCATCGGAAGAACGCTGCGTCCCAAAAACCGTAGCCCCGTGACCGTTCGTCTTCGCAAAAGTTATGTGATGACCGAAGGAGCACGCGAAGCGGTTTACAGGAGGGTTGCTGGGCTTTGTTCTTTGAGGACACACAGTACTTGGTTTTCATCGGGTCCGCGCGCACATCGCTGGTGGCGCGATGCGCGCAAGCGCAAGCGTGAACCACTTGGAGGGTGCTGGAGACGCTCAGTGGTTCCGATGGTTCCGAGGGAACCCATGGGGGACACTCCAGATGCTTCGCGGCGACTCGGAACGTCTCGTCGCACGACTCGTGGCACGTCCGCGCTGCTTTTCGCGGTGCACCAGGAGAAGTTCGTGCAAAACCCCGTGGAGGTCACCGTGGAGGTGGGATGAATGGCATGGCCTCGATGTCGACCGTGAAAAAGGCATGTGACCGTATTCAAAACCCTACCTACCTCCAACCTAAAAGCTATGGCCTTCAATCTAGAAGAGATGGGCCTGGGCCTCATAGCGATGGCCTCTCGAATAGTGGCATGTTCTGACCAAGACCCCAAGCAGCAGATGTCGACGCCGGGTGATGCTCCAGGTGCCGCGACCGGTGATCTTAGAGAAGACGATCGAGGTGCCCAAGCTTCAGCTGCTTGGGTCCTGAAAGGCGTTCACCCAAACGAAACCGATCGGACGAAGGTGCAGTGGGTCAAAAAGCCACGGTGCTTATGAGTGGCAAAAAGGCCCGAGGACGCTGGCGACCAAGTCGCAAGGGGTTTGATTGTTGCAAGGATAATGCCCATGCTCGCCCAAGAAAGAGATAATACAGGGAGTAGTTTTTGGACAGGTGAAGGGAAGGTAGTTATACACAACCCGTCCCAAGCACCTTCTCTGGAGATCAGCACCTGTCGAGCCAAGCACCTTAGGATTGAGGAGACCATCGTCAAGGTGCCCAAGATCACTCAAACGGTGGAGCACTTGACCTTCCAGGTGAGGGGAAGAGATCGGGACGGAAAGCAGACCAAATCCTTTCTTGAGATGTGAACACCCACTGCGAAAAACCCGGCCGTGGAAGCTACCGGAATAGAGTCGAAATCTCTTCGTGCGTCTTCAACGAAGAGCTGCGTTCGACGCGGAAGCCCTGGGGGCGCCCTCCGCAACGAGTCTTCGCATTGGGACCATTGGGACCGGGGGCGGCGCCTGAAACCTTTTTAGCTGAGTGAGCAAGTCAGGGAGGGCCTCTTTGATCCCCCCAGGAGACCGGGTTCATCTGATGGCAAAGGCCTGAAAGTCCAAGACCATGTCTTTTTGGGGACTTTTGGGGCATCGATGCCCTTGTACTATCGGTTGGTCGATTGGGGATACCTGAGAATGTGTATCACCAAGTTCGGTCTATGGTAACCGAGCATCGAATCGACCCTATTCTTCCCAAGGTCGGACATCACTCAGCACTGTTTTCAGGGTCTGCAACACTCCAGGAGATCGCTCCACACTGCTATTTGGCCAGTGTAAACCAGCCCATCTCTCTCCGCCACGTGGCGGATTCTCCGCCCGGAAACTCTCCACTTCCGTGCTCCACCTGCTCCACCTGCTCCAAAGGCTCCGGGGGTCGGAGCCTCCCCGAACCCGGCAGGCGCACCCGAGTCCTGATCCACACCCCATCGTTCAGAGCCGACCCTCCGTCCACCGGCATCTCCCTCCGTTTTTCTTGCGGAGAGAGCGGAGAGAGCGGAAAGCGCCCAAAAGCGCCACCGGAAGAGGATCAGATCCAGAAGATCGAGGTGGTGAAGCCGCAGATCATCCAACGGACCATCCAACGGAAGAAGCCCATTGTGCAGGAGAACATCACCGAAGTGCCCAAGGTGGGGGCTGGGAAGCAGTGGAAGCCGGAGGGGGGAAGGGGGATAAGGGGGGAAGGGGGGGGGGCGTGGAAGGGTTAGGAGAAGGGCAGCCTTCTCCTCTTAAGAGTCGGGTGGCTTGCGGTCAGTGTAGGCCACATCCTAGCGAAGCCTACCTTCGCTCCGACCCCAGCGGCTCGACCCATCGACCCACCCTCTTACGCCTTACTCTCGGACCCGAGATGAACAAACCCAACGGATGAAACCAGAAACACCAGGACCTTCCCGCCTGACTTTTCATCCCAGTGGCTGAAGTAAGTTAGGTCAAACATGGTCAAACCAAAGGGGGGGTGCTGAAGCTCGGTCGCGTCGACTGTCTCCAAGTCTCCAGTCGACCTCGTCCACACGTGACCGACAGCGGATTTTTTCAGCGGTGAGTCGGATCCTGGTGAACCACCACGGGTTGAAGAGGGGAGAATAGCTTCTTGTTACTAGTAGCGTTCTTGCTCCTAGTAGTAAGGCCAGGAGCGCCTACTAGCGACTCCACAAACACATTGGCCAGACTTGCCATGATTTGCAGAAACTGGTTTTGAAGTCACTGCCCTATCCACAAATGCGGATGATCTCGAAGACCACGCATCGTTGTGTGACTCTGCATTGAACCTGCCATTCCAACAGAAAAGACCATGATTTGCATCGACACGGGTGCCTGACCCTCCAGATTCATCCAGATTGATTATCCATCCGTCCACCCTGACCAAACCCACACACGCATGCCTTATGATTAGCAGCACATTCAAATTTCAGGTGTTCGGCACACTCACCAGAGCTGCAACTGCACGCAGTCCTCTTGGATGTGGGACCAGCTCCACGCATCAAGCACCACACCCCACAGGGACCAGCTCCCGTGGAGTATGGACTCTCCGCCAGGTGACCATTGAGCATGTCCCTGTGGAGAAGGTGGTCAAGAAGCCGGTGGACGTGCCCCAAATCCAGTACGTGGCTCGGTGGTCGCAAACGCACCGGGGCGCCCGCGCCCGCTGCGAGGCGAAAAAAAGCGCTCGGGAGGGCGGCAGAGCGAAGCGATCTGCTGTGACGGTTGGACCGAAGAAAAAGCAAGGCAGTCGATCGATGAATCGATATGGATCGAGTTGCAGGTGAGTGTTTGTTTCTTTGCTTTGTTACATGGTTCTTGGTAAAAGGAGGGAGGGGGTGAAGGATCTCCCATGATCTCCATATATTTCCCAAGACTTTTGATCGGTATTCCTCGTAGTTGTAGTCCAAGAATTGGTCCATCTAGCAGCTTACTCTTGAAGGAATTGGCCATGTGGAATCATGTTTCTTCCTAGTCTGAGCTGAATGGCATCTGTGCCGCTCTGGAGAAAGAGCTCGTCTGTGCTGCTGGTTCGTCATGGAGCTATTCATGTGATGAAAGACAGTTTGGGTCCAACTCCAGATAGGCCTAACAAGTGGTTTCTGGCAGCCGTCATGACCAGGAGACACCTGGGGAAGGCGGCACTAGGATAGGTCGGCGAAGGGTCGGAGAGGTCTATGCTGGCGTTTTTGGAAACTCCAAGCTATTCCCCCCTCTATTTGAAGACAGGAGGGAGGGAGGGTGGGAAAGACCTGATGTGGAATGGCCAGGCGATGACACAGATGCTCCCCTGATGAACATGGACCCCATGGTGCGGGGCGGGGTTTTTGGAACCTGGTCTTCCACTTCGGCTCCCCGACCGATTCCGGCTGGGTCTGGAGAACGCCACGCGACCTTTCGATCGGGCGAAACCGCCATGAGAGGTGGACAAGATTGTGGATGTACCCGTGAAGAAGCAGCGCCATGTGCCGGTGGTGCAGCGTCTTGGAGAAACCACAGTGGGGTCTGGCTGGTCGATGGGCTCTGGAAAAGGTATGAAAAGATCATGCAAGAACAACTCTGTTGAAGCTCTCCTCAACATGTGACAAGAGTCGAAGCGATCAGCTTGACTCTAGACCTCAAGCTTCAGCACATCTGGAGCCTTTTGTCAGAGCCTTTGGTGAGGTCTTTTTCGGTCGTTTGACCCTTCCACCTGCGAAGCTGTGTACTGTTGTGTTTAGAGAAACACATCAGCCATCCCAATCACTTCCAGGTTCTTCCAAGGTTTCAAGAAAGCACGACCAACCACAAATTACATCACCTCAGCACCTGTCCACTCCTCCTCCCTCCTCCTCCTCCTCCTCCCTCCTCATCCTCCTCCTCATCCTCTCATCCTGATCATGATCTTGCCAGCGACGCACTCACTCGCACTGCAGGAAGGTGCCCAAGTTAGTGGAGGTGCCCACACTGGAGTACGTGGACCACGTGGTGCACGTGCCGGTCCCTACGCATCGGCATGTGCCCGTGGTGCAGGGGGTGACCAAGCATGTGGAAGTGCCCGTGGTGCAGTATGAGGACCCTGAAGGTCGATGGGATCATCATCATCATCATCATCATCATCATCATCATCACGTTGGATGAGTTCTCCCACTTGGGGAAGGTCCTGTAACGCATAAAGGTCCAAAAAAGCCTGATGACAGAACTCAGTCAAATAACAGAAGAAGGGGGGCTAAAAGTCCCTCTGGTACTCATTTATTCTTGAAAGGCGCTTGCTTGCATGCTGGTTTCAGGAAAGAATACTTAAAGAAGTAACCCTGATCTAACTGGCCTTTTCATCACTAGAGAACCGCCTGCAACACATTGGTCGTCTAGGCCTGCGTTCGCAGGCCGTTGATGACTAGGGTACAGTCTAAGTTTGACGCCTTAGTTCACCATTCACCATTGTGTAGATGCACTGCTTCGTAGTGTGCCACTTTGACATGCAGGTGGAAGAACTCGTGTTGCGTGTTGGTAGAGGGTGATGGTACCTGAGCTCATGCCAAGCTCACAGACAGACCTGCGTAACCTGTGCTATTGAAATAGAGAGACCTCGCCTGTCTGTCTCCACCCTGGGTTCAGATGGTCTCGACAGGGGGTCTCCCCAAAAAGGACATGAGACATGAGACGAGTGCTCGTCATCGTCACCGGTCGCTCGCTCTGCCGAACGAACGGGAAGAGACCGGTGCTGACTCCACCCCCCAAGACATACACTCTAAGACTAGCGAGCGAAAAGGCGACCTGTTCGGACTGAAACACATTTGAAAGCCTGCAGTTTTCCTTTACACACTCCAAATGGCAATGTTGTAGTCCAATTGCAAGTATGATGTGTCAATTAGAGTGAGCAGCTACGGCTTTTTGTGGGGGCAAGTTAGAGACTTATTCAACCTCTCAAGGTTCAGGAAGGCGTGCAGTTTTTCAACCTCTCGCGTTGCCGGATGGACGGTGCCCCAAACGCCGCGGAGTCAGCGCAGCGTTGCCCCTGTCTGACTCCACCGGCGGTTCCCGAGTCCTTCGGCCCGAAGTCGGCGGACACCGTGCCCGCAAAGCGTTAAACAGAACACCACACATCGATACCAGGACCGAAACCAAGATCCGGTGGTTTTTGGGCACTCCTTGACCTCTAAGAGGCTGTTTATAGACACCTCTTGGAAGGTCCTGGTAGTAAAGGGACTTCCCTCCTGTCTCAGACACGTGCCATTCCTTGCCAGCGTTTATATCTTTTTGGGGACCCAGCATTGGAGAAGAAACACAAGTGAAGGACAATTGCTTCTAGAAACGCCAGCGATCATCGTTTCAGCGCAGTTGATTCCTTTGTTGGATCATGTCATGAAAGGTAGCCTCAGGCTAACTGAGTTCTTCTTTTGCTTTAGCAAACATGTATTGTAACCAGGACGATTTGCCTAGAGTTTGGTCCTGGAAGGAAGGATTCTTTATCATAAGGGCCCCCCCTTCCCTGGATCAAATCCCCCCTGCACCTCATCGGTATCTGATGCATGCACCGAATCACCCTGAGAACCCGGTCACAGGAACGTGCCTCTGGGCCTTGCCTGCTACCCATCGGCCTTACCCCCTCCTCTCTCGTTCGTGTACCATTTGTCTTTCAGCTCGGCGGTACTTGGAAAAGACTTGGCACTCCCAATCAGATCCATCAATCCAAAGACTTGGCAATTACTGGTACCTGATCCTGCTACCATCAATCACCTGCACTTTTTGGCACTTTTTGCCACAGTTGCGCAGGATGAAGTGGTCCACGTGCCGGTGCACAAGCAGGTGGGACCCTGACAGCTTGTTTCATGGGGCAACGAGAGTTGCCCCATGATAGGAGGCCACTCCTTGAAATCATCATGGTGGATGGCATGGCCGCTTGAATGAGCGTTTTCCGAATACCAAGCAGGTGATGATTTCAAGGAGTGTCGTATTTTTCTTGGTGTCCCCCTCCCTCCGTTCTTCTGCGGCCGCGACAGGTGCACGTGCCGATGGTGACGAAGGTGCCGCGAACGGTGGAAGTGGAGCAGGCGAGGATGGGGCGTGAGGGCGTGAGGGCAGTGCGAAGATGGGAGATGACATCCCTCTTGCGGGAAAAAGCTCCTTTTTTAGGGCGAGGATGGGGCGTGGTTGATTTTATTTTGGGGTGCGAGGGTGAACTTGGTCGACTTTGCAGCTTTTGGGGCTTCTGAATGGCCTTTTTCTACCTAGAACTTTGGTGACCAATGAACAAGATATACACTCGCGTCTGGGAAATTATATACATATGTTGACCCCTGCCTGGAGTGCTTCCAGTACACACGAAGCAATACCTCCAACATAGTCTACACCTTCGTCACCCCAACAAAATCAAAGTTGTACAACTAGAATTCATTGAACAGGCTATTTATATGCTAGGCAACAATTATAATTGGTGGTTTCAGAGTGCATGGCACAAGCTGCTAGATAGGCTAAGACCATCCTTTTATAAAACCACCTTTGTGGTTCCATCTGCTGTTAGAGTCAGAGTTGTTGCTATAACCAGTTGAAATACCTACCAGACAGGACAAACATCGAGAGTCACGGAAACTGGCCCCTCTTTACAGCAGAGCACCATATACTTATTTTGTCTCCTATCCTGTGCCAAGAACAACGACATGGCGAACGTCACATTTTTTTTTGGGAATATTGTTGATCAAACGGGTGTAGATGCTCTACAGATGGGATATCTCGCTTCAAAGGCTCGAGCTCCTGAAACTTTGGCTCCAATCCCGAGTCAGTCAACCATTTGGGGCAGTCGCCCCATTCTTCCATCCAGAAAGGACATCTCGCCAAGAATCTAGGGACAGATTTTTGGACCATGTCCTTCTTCCGAGTTCGACACCATGACAACGTGTCATGTTCTTTTTCCAGTCTCGACCACCGTTCACTGGACCTCACCCTGACTGCCCGCAGTCCTGGACCCGTTTTCGCAGTCGAACTGAACCAGGTTCCTGGTCGAACGGACCCACCGAACGGTTGAACCCACAGGTCCCCTCATTGGTGAACACCAGGTTGTTCCCCTGGCAAAAACACCTGGTTTTTGTTTGTGAAAACCCTTTCTGTTTCATGGGAAACCGGCTGGGCCACTGCTACTGGGGCGACTCTGGGGGGACTTCGAAAGGCCGACCTGGCTTCCGCCCGACCCGCAGGTGGAATATGTGGACCACCACGTGCACATCCCGGTGCAGACCCATCGCCATGTTACGGTCGAGAAGCGCATGCAGAGGACGTGAAGGGGACGATGAGGCTTCGTGGAGGTCGGGAATTTGGTGTTTGACACGCTGGGCCAGAAATGGATTCCGAGATCGGTGAATGTCGAACCTGGTTCCTGAGGTCCCGTTTTGAACCATACCCAGTGGATCCCAGATACCACTATATTAGGAACCGGAGTTTCTAGTTTCTAGGTCTACTGTCGAACCACAAGCTGCATCCAGTGCCCCCTACTATAATGGATCCACTGGATCCACTGGGATAGCCATTTGCAGCCGATCTGTACTCTCCAGGAAAACCGCTCAAACAAAGTATGGAAACCGCTCAAAGCACCGGACCAGAGGACCAATCTAAATCAATCTAAGACGTTCTGGCGTGTTTTTCTGGAGCAGACTTGACCATGACTTTCGGAAATGACCTTGGAAGGATTCTAGACATGATGTCCCGGGCATCAAAGGTTGACTGGAAGGGTGGTATTCCTCTTTAAGGAGTCCCAGCATGAGTGACTTACGGAGCCTGATCCGTAGCAAGTGAGGAATCGCTCGATCAGCTCACTGAATTTAGTCCAAAAGATTCTCTACGGCTACTCCCCCAAAGAACATAGCGGCCATCAGGAAGTATGGTAGGAGCCTCAGGTCTTGGCAGAGGGCGGAGTGGCTTGGTCGTCGTCCCACAAGCTGCCCCAGCTGAAGAGCTCAGCTTCGCCACGGAACAGCACTTCGGCAGGACGGTCGAGGTGCCGCAGATTGAGTACGTGGACAAGGTTGGGCCGTCACTCGCAGGGCCGAAGGCCCTCCAGCAGTGGAGGAGCTGGGGCACGGATTCCGGGAAGGTCTCTTTGCGCCCATGGAGTCGGAGATGTTTGGAGTGCCTGGAAGCATCTGGACCAATTAGGATCCAAAGGTCCGGCCGCTGCGGGGACCATTGGAGGTTTTTTTTTCACCCTCCGACGAAGAACAGAGACTGTCCCGGAAGGTGAAGTATGTGAAGTCAAGGAGAGTCCCTGAATCGGAGCTAGTAGTAACAAGTGCATTGCTAGTAGTAACAAGTGCCTTACTAGTAGTAACAAGAAGCTACTAGGAACAAGTGCCTCGCTTCTAGTAACAAGTGCCTGAATCGGATCCCAGGCTCGATGTCCCAGTTGTTGGACGCAAGGGCTGTGACCTGAGAAGGTGCCCGTCTTCGAGAAAGAACACCCCAGACTGCCCAAACTCGACCCCGAAAAAGGGCCCTAAAACTTTTCATCCTGACTGGCCATGTTTCTTCAGGATAGCTGTCCCATCTGAATCGCCATTTTTTTTTGTCCCGGCCCTTGGTATTTGCCTCAGACCGGCAAGGTGGTGCCGGTGCCGGTGCAGAAGCACGTGCACGTGCCGCACATGATGCCGGTGGAGCGGCAAGTGGAAGTGCCACAGGTGCAATATGTGGACAAGGAGCACCGCAGATGCTTTTGGTGGATTAGGTGATGTGGATTGTCCCTATTGGATCCCTAGCAATCCAGTCGTACCTTCTGAAGGTCATTGGAGACACTGTTATGTAGGCGCCACGAAGGTCCAGTCGTACCTTCTGAGAAGGGATGACCTGAGCCCTAGGGTGGGTCAATCCTTTGGCATGAACCGTTTTTGTGAAGCAAAAGCTCTTGGTGATGATGATGCGACCCTACCTAGCAGTAGCCCTGGCAGTAGCCCTACCCAGCCGTCTATCACCAGTAGCCCTACCTAGCAAGAGCTCCATCAGATCATTGGAATTCATTTGATGAGCACTTGCCACACCGCTGGCCGGGTGTGGGCCAGCACTCGCCACACGGCTTTGGACCGATCTTGACCTTTTGGAGACAACCGGTGCTAATTCGTCGCCGATGCACGAATTGGGTTGGTAAGAGCTTTGCACCCACTTTACAGCTCTGTCTTTGTGCTGTCCAGTTGGAAGAGGCCGGAGGTCTTGTATTGTTTCATTCGTGGAACAACTGGAGTTCTTGGTGGTCCACCTGTTTCTTTGGGCTCCAAAAACTGCCCTGCTCAGCCCGCAGCGCCATGAATGCGGTCAAATACCCCATCGCTTTGGGCAGTTCTTGGTTTTCCCGCGAGGCTGTGACGCATAAAAACGACTTGAGACCTTCAGACCGGCAGACCCCCAGACCTCCCGCGGCTGTGTGAGGCCTTCCAATTTTCCAGCGGGACACTCGGTCATGTTCATTCGCGAGTGACCCAAGAGAGGTTGAACAGCCTTAGGGCGCCCATCCCATACGTACCACTATGGGGTCCGCCCGAAGGTCTCTCAACCTCTCTTGGGACGGGTCTCCGGACGCCGGAGCCGAGCCGCCGAGCGGGCGGCCTGCGGGGTTCGGAGTTCGGTGCGGAGGACATGGAGGTGCCCGTGCCGGTGCATCGGCATGTGCCGGTGGTCTCGAAAGTGCAGAAACAGGTGGAGGTCCCGGTGAAGGAGACAGTGGAGAAGGTCATTGAGGCAGAAAAAGTCGGGCGGGGCAGGTAGGTGAGTGAGTTGGATTTTTGATTGAATATGCATACACGAGTTTTGGTGGAAAGAGTTCTGAGTGAGGGGGGTATGGTTTTTCAGCTTGGGGATGGCGCCGTTGGGCATGGACTTCCATGGTGGGTGAATCACGAACCCATGGCGGCCGACGACCCAATCGGGACTCTTCACCCTCGGATGTTGGAGGGTTTTCGCTTTCAGGTCCCCCGGGAAGCCACCACGGGGGTGTCGAATCCATCGAGCCTTCGACTCAGCGCCGAAAGCGAGCGCCTTCCGCCGGTTCCAGCGGAGGTGCCGGTGGTGAACCAAGTGGACGTCCCTCAGGTGGGCGATCGGGCCGAGGGAGTTGTTCCGCGAGAGGGAACAACGCGGTGGGACTGAGGGGATTTCTGGTTTGATCCACAAGCGCAGTGAACCCAAAGGAGGACACAGTCAGCTGTGGATTCTTTTTTGCGGTATCAAAGATCCAGCTGACCAGGGAAAAGTAGAGGTTTCAAGAAATTGAGACTGATTCAAGATGTATTTGAAAGGTGAAGATCAGGGTCATCAAAAACAGACAGACAGTTGCCAGTTGGTGAGGGAGTTGGCAGCCAGACTTGTTCCCTGACAAGCCTGACAACAGTCGACTATAATTGCTCAGTGAAGTCCTCATCATTTCCCCAAAAACATCGAAAGTCCTCCTCTTGCCTCTTGCCTCTTCAGAGCACTTTCAGCACCTGGGCGGCCCCCGTACCATGCTCCTGGTTTTTCGGTGAACGCCGAACCTGTGACGGAACCGCGGAACGTCCGAGTCGAACGACGCTCGACGCCTCGGCAGGTGCAGACGGTGGAGAAGATCGTTGAGGTGCCCATCGTGCAAGAGGTGCAGAAGGCGCCCGCGGTGGGGGCAAAACCGGAGGTACCCCATCGGTGGGTGAAGCAGAGGTGAAACAAGAGGTTCATTTTTGGTGACCTAAAAAAGGACCCTATAGGACTAGGACCTAGTTGGGATAGTCGAAAAAGGGTTCTGAAGAACCTCAGCTGGGAGGTCGCGGTGAACGAGGTCAGTGAAGTCAGTATGATGGACCCAGCCAGCCCTCCACTCCCTCTTGGCTTAGACCACTTGGAAGACACCATTTCCGTGGAATCCCAACCATGGGTTGGACCACTCCTTACAAAACAGCTTGAGCTCCTTCGAGTGGTGCTCCAGCACCGTCCTTCCCTCCGCACCGTCCGCCGGCGTTCAGGTCGTGGAGGTGCCCGTCGTGGGCGACGTGGTCCGAGGGCAGCAGCAGCGCACCCAAGTGGATCTGCCGGTGCTCCGTCGGGAGGCGCCTCCCGAAGTGCGCACGGAGGTGGTGCAAGGCGCGGCGGGGGCGAGGTACACGGTGCGATACAGCACCGCCCACTGCGAGGAAGGGGGTGGAGGAAGGGCGGTTTCTGTTGATTTCTCAGGTTGGTAAGAAGTGACTGGCCGAAGAGGTGGTGAAAACCACCAGGTGGTGGAGTGATTCGATTTTGGATTGCGACAGGTAACTGTGAGTGAAGATCACAATCAGGAAGACTGACTGGTGCTCAGTAAGGAATGAGAGAATGGATCCTAAGGTATCTATAGTGAGGGGTCGTTCCCTCATTCCCTACTAAGTACCAGTCAGACAGAGGGATTTTGAGGGATCCCAAACAAGCCCAAGCCTTTCCTTTTCTGGGACACAGTTTAGATTTAGATGATCCCAACCTGCGGCGCTCGCCCCATTTTTGGATCACGATTTTGAAGCACTCTGGTCGTGCATATTTAGCTCTAATCTCCCCCATACATTCCCCATCCAGCCTCATTCATCTCTCGTTGGTCTACTGCAGAAGAACAAACATCAAGGCGGTGTGCCGGGGAACGTTCCTGCCGCGGGAGGCCCCCCCATGGAGCCAGAGTATGTCAAGGGTCTGGTGACCGGACATGGCACTGCTTGCCTTTCCGCGTGCGGCTTGGGCAGCACTCCTTCATTGCCCAGTGGGGCTGTGGGCTCCTTTGCGGCCATGGGTGCCTTGCAAGGAAAAGAAGTGCACCAGGAGGGTAGAGTGCACCAGGAGTGCACCAGGAGTCATTCTTTCATTTTTGGAGAAGTGCAAGGGTTATAGAACTCCCTCGGGCACCCCACTGAGTGGAAGGGCCAAAAAAAGGGGCGGGACAGCGGGACCGCAAGTCGTGTGATTGATGTTCTTGCTTCTTGGCGGTGAAGGGGTTCGGCGGTGAAGGGATGTCTTTCTGTCCCTTAATCCTATTGTAACCTCGCCGTGGGAGATTGTAGAATTGTAGGACTGTAAAGTCCGCCCATTTTAGATTCTTTCCTAAATTTTTCAAGGTTTGCGAGGGCCAACTGCTGCAGATTCGATATGGAAATCCTGACTACAGCAACTCCTTTTTCCTGGCGAACGCCTTCTGGCGAAGGGACTGAAAGGAGGAGGGTCCAAAAACGCTGGGTTTTGCAATTTGGGTGACTCTCAATTGATTGTCTCAAAGTTGTCTCAGAATTCTAAATGTCTTTTTGCCTAAGTATTCAAGCGTTGTGGGTGTGGCTGGTTGCTTGATGACTTTTGGCACCCAGTCCTCCATTGGCAAAGGACTGTGCCCAAGGGATTTCTGTGTCCAAGGGGATTCTTTCCCTGGATTTCTCCTTCCTTCAGGGAGTTTCTGATTGTGTCAGGTTTGACATCTCCAAGCACCCAAACTCTCCATGAAGGCATGGGTATCCAAAATATGATCTGATCTTCTCTTTCAACCTCGGTTAGGAACAATCTTCTATTGATCTCAGTCTCAATAACACAAGTTCTTTGACTCCCCCGCAAACCATCCTATTTTGATCCTCTTACCCTCTTCAGGCCGGGTCAGTCTCCGCCCGCTTTCCCGATGAGAGACCGGTCCCCCTCATCAGGCAGCGGCTCGCTCACTCCAGTGAGTTCCTTTTGGCAACGGACGAATGCGGGAAGCCCCTGCTCCAGCCCCATCTCCAGGGGAGCTGGATAGTGGCGGAGGACCCGAATGGAAGGGCGGGCCCGGACCTCCGTTTTCACACTCTGGCCGATTCTCACACGTGAGGGATGTATGGCATTTTCACCACCGGCACGACCACTGAGTCACCAGATTGAGACCTTTCTAATCCGAGGGATCAATTCTTTGGGACTGGGGGTCATGTGAAGCAGCTGTGGAGCCGTCGTTGGAAGATGCCAAGCCAAGGAAAAACGCACCGCCTGCGAACAACGCACGCACCGGTGGAGCCCATGTTCGGTGGTCCGACCCTTTGGTGATGTGGGGAGCCTGCTCCATCACTCCGAACGAAAGAATCCACGAAGCTTCGTGGGTTCCACCGCCAGCTGTTTGCGATGTCCATCCGAACATGGGGGCTGGCTGGGTGAAGCAGCTAGCTTGTTCAGCACTTCAGGGAGTCTACTTTGAGACAGCTAGCCCTTCAGAGAGTCCGCAAACACCCGGGATTTTGAGACATCTCAGTGATGCGATCCGCACCGAGCTGCAACCGTGTCCGTCCCGAAAAGCCGCGGGCGAGAGAAGCAGGTCGTTTCATGTGGAGAGGTGTAGGCTAGGGGGACCTTCGACGTTGAGGACGGAGTGGGTTTCTCGTAGCTACGAGTGTCATGATGTTCCATGCAGTTTCATGATGTTCAGCCCAAGAGTGCCTGGGTTTCAAGCTCCACCCTGAAGCAATGGCGAATGCGACCGGAGGTTGTGTTCGGAACCCTTTTGGGATGCAGGGCATGGAAGAGGAGACTTGAACTTGTTCAAGACGAGAATCCCCAAAAACGAGCTCCAGGCGATGTGTTTGGCGACTTCAGGTGGGAATGGAGTCTTCCCCCATCCTCCGTTGGCCCAAAAGAAGACGTCGACCTTGCTTCCGAACAATGCCGCTGCAGACGGTGGGGTGCAACTCGCACGGTACGTACTTCGGGGAGACGGGATGTGCTGTGAGATGTGGAGAGAAGAAGACCACACCGTTCAACTCGCATGACCCAACTTGACCCAACTCGCATGACCAGGAGTTACCAAGGGGTGCTATCCATGGAGGTTCATTAGGGGTGCCCAGAACATCCACTTACTTAGGGTAAACACCACCCCTCCTGGGAGTTCTTCAAAGAACTGGGGAAATACCCAGTGAGTCTTGTTTTTTCACCAGTGCCCAGTGCCCACCATTCCACCATTCCTTCAGTTGACCACGGCTCACATTCCGACAGCGGGGCAGTAGGCACCTACTGCGTGACGAAGGACCGAAGAGGAAAAAACGGATCGTGCGGGGTTCTTCTTGGTGGCGACTGGGCTGTGGACAAAGGTAGGGAAACAGCACACACATATATATATATATATTGCCATGCGATGTTGCTTGTATGGCACATTGAAAAGGGCCACATGTTTCAAAGCAGCATTGTTTGGGAACGACACAACGTTTTGTTATTGGACTTGCAATGTTGCCATTCCGGAATATTCATGCCCAACTGTCCAGTTTTCTTCCTTGGATTTATTTGTTTTTCCTGGTGTTAGGGCCGTTAGGGGTAACCGATGGATTCGTTGATTTATGACTATGTTGATTCTATTGTTGATTTTTGCACCGAAGCCTTCTGATGCCTTCTCTGCTCGCAACGAGCCTTGGCTCAAGGTCGTGAACTAAATGAGCTGAGAGAACACTTCGGCAGCTTTCAGGATGGATTTTTGCCACCCCAAGAGATTACTATATATACATGCAGTATATATGCAGACGTTTATACACGTTTTTTAAACACCCATGAAAGGAGAAGAAAACCTGCGCCGATTTTGAGAATTTGAGGCAACCTTGCAGCTCAGGTGCATATTCTCCAAAAACAAATTTTGGGTTCCGGACGACTAGGAACTTTTCGCTCTTTTTGCGGCCCGCAAAGCAGCCGTTTCTCACTTCCCTTGAGAATTGCCGAGACTGACAGGCACCCTGAGGGAAGGGAGGGGCCAGGGGCCAGGGCGCCGCGTGTAGGCGTGGAAGCTTTGATGTGAAGTATACAGAGGGGGCGAGGGGTTTGGAAACAAACAAGATACTGTAGTTGTAACAGGGCACCAGGACGCTCCTGGCGGGTTGGGGAACTTGGGATATCACCGTGCCAGACTTGTCACGAAACACCGATCTTGGATCCAGACTTGTTTTGAAACAAGACCCTGGGCGTCTGCGTCTATTGCTCGGGCCGGGGTGAGACTTGGACATTTTTCATCGAAACGACCACCCGAAGCTATTGAGGTTGAGCTGGGCCTCAGTGTTGTGTTCCAGTCTTGGGCGGCTAGTGTTTCCTCCATCACGGGTGCCCTCCAATACTACGGGGCGTTTTCGTCCACCCAACAAGCTCTGGAGGCTCCAAGGATTCACGGAAGCCGGTGGGTTTCTTCGTCTGACTTGCTTCGTGCTTCGGGGACGAAGACAAGTCCGGTCGGTCCACACCTTGAGGTTTCGGGGACAGCACACAGCGAAGTGTCGTCCGCTTTCGCTGAACATCTGCGCCGGCTACAGATGTTCTTCTGCTTTTCCATCCAGAAGTGAGTGAGAAGTCTCCTCCCATTTCAGACAAGTCACGAGTCACATGTCGCGGAGCAGAACCAACGGAGATGAAGGAGTTGGGTGACCCTGTCACATCCACGAGCCCTGCATGGGACGAGCCAGACCACCCTGGCCTCCATGTGCACCCCCGGAAGTCAGGTCTTTTTAGGGTAGAGGACGCTACGAACGGAGCATTTCGGGCATCGCGGCTACTAGGAGCGATCGGAAAGGAAACGGGACAAAACAACAAACCCCCATTCCCCCCCATCCCCCTCCAGTTTGGGGCAATTCACCCAGTTTGGGGAAGGTCTTTTGAGGGGCCGGTCAAACGGCCCCGCCGTTGGATCGCCTCAGGTCGCGGCAATGCCACAGGCCGGGGCAGTGGAGCACTGAGGAAGTGTACATCCAATCCTGGACCCAAAGGGTCTCGAATTAACCTAGACACGACCCATGGGACTGCCATATATGCCGATCAGTTGGGGTGGTTCCAGGGGTCAATTGATCGGCATATATGCCATACATGGAGTGTCTGGGTAACAGACCACCCACCCCGAATGACACGATTTGTGGACTTCCATTGCACAACCATTGGATAGCTGATAGAACGACTCTGACGATGTTGTCCGGAGAAACCCTCTTGAGATCCATGGCACCAGTGACGAGTCTATGGCATCGAACGGACAGGAGCTGGTCAATGATCCATGTATGCCAGGAGTCACAAAGGGGTGCCCATTGGAGGATAGTGGTCCCCATTATCCACTCACTTAGGGACTAAACACCACCCCTTTGTGACTCCTGGTGGAGACATCTGGGGATGGAGACATCTCGTGCTGCATTCGATCTCAACTCTCCAAGACTTTTTGAGAACCTGCGGTCGTGGGGGAACATCAGTACCTCTCCAAGGCCTTTTCGGGTTCTTCCAAGACTTCTTCATCCCCTAAGTGGAGGTCACCCTCTTAAGCCTTCAAACTGGCTGGGACTCCAAAGGTTGGTCACGAACTGAAGAAGTTCCGTCTCCTTGTCCGTGCGGCGCCGTCGGCGCGTTTGGGGTCGTCACTCGGACCGCCACACCAAGAGATGGTAGCGGCAGCGGAGGTCAGGCGCCTCCCTGGCGAAACCGCCGGAATCGGAGCATCCGTTTTCTTCATATGGGGGGTTGATCAATCATTCATCTAAGAGACCTACATGACTTGGATGTGAAGAGACTACCGGAGTGGGGCGAAGGCACGGTCGGTGGCTGAGTCCGGGTGAAACCAGGATCGGATCCACTGGCACCGTACCTAAGGTTCGGTACGAAGAGTAGTCCTGTCCACGTCAAAGAGGACGATGAACATCACCGTACCTCAGCATCGTGTAGATGGGGGTAGATAGATGAACATCGAGAGACCTCCAAAGCAGCTGTGTTGGCAGCAAGGGAGTCGAACTCGGAGGCCTCCCCAAATATAAAGCACGCCCAGATGGACAAGTATATGAACAAAGGATGGTTGTGGGGGGAACAAGGAGATTCTTGTTCTGATCTACTATTGATGGACTTGTCCACCATCCGGCAAAGAAAACGAGGTACAACTCAGCACCGTAGGAGCAGTCTTCATCTCTGGTTACTTGGTTGTCAAGGCAGTGTTTTAGGGGATTTCCATGGTTCAGACATCTCTTGGGGATGTTCACAGCGTGTTCAGGAGAGGCTGAGCAGCCTGGAAAACATGACTTTGGGCCCAGAGTGGCTACAACAAGGCGCGAGCGACTGAAGCTTTACTCCCAACTTGGGTTGGATTTGCCACAGGACTTCACCAAGATCAATAGGCCTCCACAAAACCATCCCGACCGTGGGTGGTCCAAGCATTTGCTGGAGCCACCTACTCATGCAGTGTCAATCGAGAAGAATGAGATTGCATCAGGAAGTCGATGGCTTTAGGGACTCTGATCGATGATGATAGATGTTTTGGCTTTAAAGAGTGCCAACCTTCTAGGGCAGAACGGTCACCTCTTCAGAGAACTCCTTTCCGGTACTGGTCACCCATAAACCAGCGCCCCCTTCGAAAAAGGGGACTGGATGTCCAGAAAGCCACCGCGCCAGGGTTTCGGAGCAGCATCTTGGACCTGTGAGTCAGTCACTTCGGGCTTGGGGAATCCCAGGTGCAAGACCCGGTGTCTCAAGGCAGCGACTGGGGTGTTCAAGAGACTTCCTTGACTTCACTGGTCTTACTCTGGAAGTGGATGGCATGGCCCTTTGGAAGACGATGATCCGAATTCCAAACAGGGGGTGAACTCCACGTAAGCCATGTGAGTTCCAGAGAGTGTAAGTCATCTGAATGGACTGCGTGACTCGTCTTTGAAGACCTTTCACCAGTCCTTGCGCCCGTACGTCCTCATGGCCTGCCTTTGTTGGACTGGCTCACGGTGATGGTACGTTACTGGTAACTGGAACGCACATCTGGAGGACACCTCGGTGAGCTCACCAAGGTGTCCTCATCCCGAGGCTTAGGACGGTCTCTTCTTTGGGCAAAGGGTCATGAGCTTGTGACTAGGAGGGCATTTGCAGCTTGTGACTAGGTAGGGCTCTTGATACCCGAACTCACAAGGGAACTTGGGAGGTAGAGGATGAGGGACTTCGAATAGAGGTTCCTTTGACCACCTCTGTGGGACTCCAGTACCTCTTGTACAAGGACGCCAGTACCTCTTGTACAAATTGTTTCTAAGAATCCAGAATTCTCTTGCAGTTTGACGATTCTAACATCAACCTCTTCTCTTCATGCACAAGTGAAGTAGATCCCCGGACTCCCGAACCCTTTCGCCAGTCGCGGTGGACCGCTCAAAAAGACGCGCCTCTGAGGCCCCAAAAGGGAGGCCGAGAAAGCGGTGGCCAGCCCCAGTGTGCACAGGCGAGGTGCCGGTGGCGTGGCGAGCGAGGGCAATGTCGGTGAAGATGTGCATTGGACTCATGTAAATAGTGACATGGGACATGGGAGACATGGGGGGGAAGTGAAGAAATCTATGGTTGTGTATCTTAATAGGTCTACATCCCAAGGTATATCTCCATGGTCCAAGGTCTACTCTGAACCAATGGGTGTGCATCTCAATAGGGAGACACCCGATGGGCCCTGGCTAGGTCGACCGGTCTACTTTCCTTCAGGCGGTCGACCGGGGAGGTTCTCCCTATGTGGCAACACACGCGGGCACGCTGCATTCCTGACTTGGGGGATAGTTGACACCATGCTTGTCATGATATCACCCAAACTCACCAAGGTGAACCTGGTGAGTCTTGGAGGAAATTCTAGGGCAACCGCTGATGAAGTAGAGGATACTAGGGAAATTTTTGAAGGATATCCGACAGGTACTTGACTGTGAGGAGAAGTCAGATCTGCTTTCTTGGAGTATGAAGATGGTTCGATGTTGTCACAACATCTGGTTCTTAAATGGATTTTGCCCGAATCTCCAGGATCTAGGACTCTAAGTTTACCAGTTTACCTTAGCTAACCCAATGCGCGGGTGTCAGAGCTCATGAACAACTCGCTACTCAGCAGCGAAACCACGGCTTCAAGTCAGGAAGTCATGTAGGTGAATTTCATGCCTGGACGGACCTTTAAATTTCCCATGTCATGTAGGACGGGCCTTCAAAACGGGGTGGGTATAGCATTTGGACCATGTAGGACTTGGACTTCTTCAGTTGCCTTGACTTCTTCATGTATATATATATATATAGACCTTCTTTATGGTCCAAAAACTGGCAAAAACCGGCTGCCTGTGCCTGTCACCACCCTTTCAGGTATGGCCGGGATCAGCTTTTGCTGTTCCAGAGCGCCATGCTGCTCCCGGCGGCACCCCGTCCGGGCCACAGTGGAGCGAGAAACAAGTCTGGATGTGTTCCCAGTCCTAGCCACGAACAAGAAAAGGAATAGATCCCAGGCTGGAACCAAATTGGGAACCCAACCAGTTCTTCAGGATTCCAGGTTTTGCTCCGGTTCCGTTTGGAATCCTCATTGGGAGGTGTCGTAGAGTTGGCGCAGGTGCTTCGTGATGCTCCGTGCCTTGCCCCCCCTCCGAAGTAGTGTCACTTCATTTGGCCTGGAACTAACGAAGTGGTGACGTGGAAAGGCCTGGAAATCCGCTGAACCGCAAGACCATAGACCCTCTAACCCGTTTGGGGCAACCCGAAACGTAGGGAGAGCTGCTTGGAGCAAACGGGAGCTCCTCCTCGAAGACGAGCTAAGCCGAAGCGAACGCGTCGTTGTCACCGAAGGATCGAGCCCGGCGATGCCATGTGACTGGGGCTGATTCGATGCAATCCAGGCTGGAACGATGCAAAGCCGGGGCAGCAATTGGTCCCTCTTCGCATCCCAAATCCGAAAAGCCAATGGCGCTTAGGCCTGGCCAATGGCCGGCCGAAGCCCACAGAAGAGTCGCGAACTCAGATGACATGCAGGGGTGGTTGGGACCTTGGGTCCGCCTTCTTGGGAAAATCGGCTTGCTATCTGTTATGCCGTTTATTTCGGTTCTTTTCTGCCCCTTTGGATCTATGATGGCACAAAAAAGCGGGCATCTCCGGTTGCTTTTGATTCTCCAGAAGCCAAAATTCAAAAACCAGAGGCTCGAAGCATATGGCATCAGGCGAATAACTTAAGAGCTGTGGTTCGTTACTTGGAAAACACGCTCCAATGCCAACTTTTCCCACGATATAGAAAGACAGGTGCCTCATCCCTTGTTCGCCTTGGTTATCATCCACGACTGGTTGGGGGAATTTCTTCTCGCCCGGAATTTCCTTATGCAAACTTGCTCATGGAAAATGTGTCGCACTACTCATCTCTTGCTAACCAACCGTACCCACTCAATGTTCGTCTTGAGCTGCCCGGGGACCGACTCCTGCTGAGTCCCCGTTTTCGTCTATTGCATTCACGGAGGGGCAGAAATTATACCAAAAAGTAAAGAAATGCATTCGCACCAAGCAAAGTTTCGGCAATTTGTCCTTCAAATCTTGAACGATTGAACGCCTTAATTGGTAATTCACCTTGTGAACTGACCGTGTCTTAATCCGGTTGTTCCGTGGGTGGCGCGCATGTTTTGTTACATATTTGTCTTTGTCTACATAATTACACACCCTTGGGTACCCCACCTATGTGGAAGGACCTTAAGGGGCGATGACGGATCGATCGCAAGTTGGTTTGGGGAACACTACTCTTTTCAACTCCCACAGGTGGAGGGTTCCGTTCACCTTTCTTTTCCCTAGTCCGCTCCTGTGGCCAAGCCCTTGCTTTGGCCAAAGCCGCAAATTGGAGGGCATATGAGGTGACGGACCGCGACCGCGGCAGAGCTCCAGTTCCAGAGCTTCGACCTGGAAAACCTCCCCAGCGGAAACACATGGTTGGAACCCAATATGGCCCCAGCTTGAGGTACTTTTCAGGACTGGGGAGTTCCATCCAGATGGGGTTTCCAGACACTTCCCGAGCTTCCAGCTGCCTCTATCGCCAGGTTGGAGCCAGGAATCTATCCTGCGAGGGGCGCCCGGAGTGACCAGGGATCAGGTGCTTCGGAAGCTTCGAAAGGCCTAGGCTTCCCTCACCATTTCCAAACTTGACCATGCTTGTGTAGTGTTTGAAAGCATCAAACAGTTGGTTGCTCGGTCCAAAACCGCAATGTACGTGGCTCCTTGGACCATCCTTTGAGGATTCTTCGGTCTTCGAAGCCTTAAACCGCTGGGCGACGAGCCAAAAGCTGGGCTTCGAGGGCCGGGGCCGAGCTCCCCTGGGAGCGAGCTCATGAGCTCCGGGTCGGGGAGGACGTCCAAAGGGCACGAAGCGCAGAGGTCATGGACCTCATTGGACCTCATGGACCGGATTTTTATTCGGTTCTATGTGGAGAACCCGGTGCGAAAAAACCCGGCACTGGAGATTGTTTCGGTCACTCTTCTTGTTGGACCCATTCGCACACCCATGCAAGTGAGGAAACTCATTGGAGAAAGAATGGATGGGATTGCACAGAGGTCTGCAGAAGTCAGTGACTTCTGGGGGTTTCTTTCCAGTCTCAAACCTCTCCCGGCCTCACAAGCCCAACCTTCCGTTGACCATTTTCAATGGTTGACTTGGTTTTGTAGTTGAAAATCCTTAGTCCAACCATCGTTGTTCGTGATGCGAACCACTCCACAGGAGCACCAAGGTAAGCATTCGGCCCATGCTTTCCATGCCTTTCACACTCTGCATCAGGTCTTTGGGGCTATGACCAAAGAGAACCTCGTGAGCGACGGGGTCTTACCGGCCTCCTCCTTGGAGGCTGTGGGCTTTGGGAGGCTTTCAGAAGCGTAACTTGACGTCTCGGTTGACCCAGGACGGGTTGACACCTGGAGCCCTGGTCCCATGTAGCCATCAGGCACAGGTCGTGCCGCTCGTACCCGGCACCGGTCGGCAGCCGGTCCTCGGTCGCTGCCAGGACAAGGGAGGCCCGGTGGCCGGCACGCTCCGGGGCCGCGCTGAGGGTCCGGGGGCCGAGGCATCACGCGTGCCCACTCGATTGACTTTGGCTGAACCAAATAAAGGATTTGGGGTTCTAAAAACGCAGGTCCAAGCTGTAGCCTTTAGAAGGGTACGAATGAAAAAGGGTCCAGCTGCCGGTCGCGTTCGAGCTCGGGTCCGTCTGGGTCCTTCGGTGACCCCCGTGCCCTAGGCCGTGGGAAGGGCAAAGGTGGTGCTCGCGGCAAAGGTGGCGCCGGGCTGCTTTTTTTGAAGCGTCCAAAGACTTTGAAAGACACACCGACACACCGACCTTATAGAGGTGCACCTTCTGCATCCTGCATCCCTCCATCTACGGCCTCAGTTGCCTCATGTTGCCTCCCAACCAGTTGCCTCCCATGGCCTTTCTTGGCAATCCTGTTATGCTTTGCTTCCACGCTTTGCCCCACCGAACCGATCCGAACCGTCCGCGCCGCGCGGACCCGGCGAGTGGGGTGGCCACTCAATTCGCCAGGCCGTGAGGAGGCACGGGGGGAGACGGCGAACACGGAGGACTTCACCCCTGTAGAGTGCATGAGTGCAGCTACCAGCACTTTCCAACAGGTCACCACCCGCCACTTTTAAGTCTCCAAAAGCTACCAGAGGAGACCTGTTGGAGGGTGCAGCTATAGTGTTTTGTTTGTTCTGAAAAGTGTGTGGTTGAGAATCTGCAAGCGACAAACATTCCGCAATCTACGAAAAATCCTGCGGAGGAAGTCTTGTTGCAATCCTGATTGGCAGTTGGAATGACGGGGAGGGTTGGGGGGTGACCAGAGATCTTTTTCTTCCGGTTCACGTCTGGACTTTGGAGGTTCTAGCTGTGGCTGAGACGGGAGATGAGAACGAGTCCATTGCAATTCAAAACTTCTCCAACGAGTGGCTAACAGGTTTGCAGTGAAGTCGCGGTCAAGTGCCGCCAACGTTGAATGGCCCTGATGGGCCGGGGCGTGCGATCCTCCACTGTGCAGGGCTTTGCAGGGTTCACGTGGTAGCAGTCAATAGGCCAGAGCTTGCATGGTGAGGTTGGCAGGGTCTTGTAGAAGGGACATGAATTCATTCATACTCCATTGTGTAGTAGAACCATTGTTCCGGTGCACCAAACATCTGGATGGATGTAGCATTTCTTGAATGCTCCAGTGCGGGCGCATGACTGCCGCGAGCACCGCTGAGCGCCTTTTCCTCGTACTTTCCGCGAGTTCGCCATCTTGCGCTTCGCTAGGAGGATGAAGGCTCGCCAAAGAAGGAAGTCCAGGCCAGTTTCTTTCGTTCGATGTTTGTTTTGTTTTAGGTCAGAAGAACCGATGAGCAGGGATGTGAAGGAAGCAGAATCTACGGCGAACATGCGGGAGATGTGGAATCATACCCCCGAAACCGCGCGAATCGGCTCAACCAAACAGGGTGGAAAGGGCGCTAGACTGGCTATGCTAGTGTGGATGGGGTAAGAGGGAGAAGACTATACTAGGGCGCTAGACTGGCTATACTAGGGCGCTAGACTGGCTATAAGAGGGAGAAGAATGGGGGAAGGAGAGTTGCCATGGGATAAGGTCTGGATCAGACCTTCCAAACTTCTCCTCCTCCACCCTCAGCAGGAGAAGAAAAGAAGCTTCCATCTGGAGGAATCAATGTGAGACCCCAACCAGTCCATTCTTTTCCAACCCCTTTTCCAGGGCCTGAAAGTGGGTTGTTGAAGGACACTCCCCGGAAACGGGGCTATCATGAGACACCTCAAACTGGGCGCTCCCTGAGATGCCGTGAGTCTGAGTCCTTTGAGTCAGCCACGTGATCGGCCGCGGATCGGTGCCTCCGAGAAGAGGCGTCTCCAGTACAGACGGCCGGGAGCGGTGCTAGCGGTGCTCTGGGCTTGGGGACCCGAGAGTCAGAGACGAGGATGGGAGGAGGCCGGGCTTCAATCAGTTTCGGAGCAACCTTTTTCAGCTTTGGCTTCCTGTTCTTTGGTGTGTGAGTGGAAGCGTTGTGTGTGCACTTCTCCAAGTTTTCCGGGGTGAGTTGAACTGGTATCTTTTGTGATGGTCCAAGAGTGCTTGAACTGGATATCAAATACGCTCCATGACTTAGATCCGCGACCTCGATTGCGGGTGTCGTGCGGATATTGCAAGCCAAAAAGGTGGGTTGTCAAGGAGTACGCTTGTTCTTGGACATCACCGGGGAAGCTCTTGAATGTGATCCCGGTCTCACATGTGGGTCAGCCATTCTCATTTCTCGCAGCTCAGCCGGCTCCGATGGAACAATGGATGGAGAAGTTCTTTCTGCATCAGCCACTACACGTCCAGTCAGCAAAAGCTGGCCCTGAAAGCGTCATTGAGCAGTGCTGACCCTGTATGACCAACTCCCCAAATATGGTCTTTTCCCCTCTTTTCCTGTCCAAACATGGGTTATGCCTGGGTTCCAGGTATATATATATATATATATCTTTAGAGAGAGAGAGAGGCATCAACGTTTGACCCTCGATGCTGTTCCGAGGCTTGCCGCCCATGGAGCTCCCCTCCCGCCAGGTCTCAGGCGCGAGTGAAACCTCACCGCGGCGAGTGAAAACCGTGCCGCAGCGGCGACCGGGCAGGTGTTTTCCAACGCCCAAACCCACCTGGACCTTCCCAAATGGTGCCCCAAATGGAGATCCACCAGCAATCGCGGGGGCTTCCAGCCAGGTGGGGAAGGAAGGTGGCAGGACACGCACCCCAGTTCCTTGGAGTTGGGGCGCCGAACTTGCTCCCTTGTCGCAGCGGCATGCTCAACACAATGGACCTTCAAAAGGAAGGCGATATCGGTTTTCAGATCCGGTCGGCCACATATTCCATGACCATCTTTTCCTCAAAAAGAGGAGACCGTCGCTGGAATAGAACCGATGTTCCAAGAAGCGATTCCGATTCAGCGAATTGGACGAATCGATTCAGCGACCGATGGTTCTTCGGGGAGTTTTCCCCTCATCCGACCCAATCCGACCCATCCGACCGCGGGAGAGGTGCTGTAGCTGGGCATGGAACGAAAGGACAGAGATGAAGCACAGACTCTCCGAAGACACAGGGGCTGAAAGCAGGTTGTTTCTGATGGTTTTTGGATGTCTTCGGGTAGCTCTGGTAAGTGGCAGAGCTTCAAATCTCATTGCGCAGGTTTTCTTGACAGAAACATCTACAAGAATACGACCATGGTTCTCGGGGTGGTTTGGCATCCTGCAGATCCTCCTGCAACCCAACATCCACAAACAATCTGATTTGAGCTGTGCCATCTACTTTAACCCGGGGGAAGCAGGGGTGTCTAATTTGCTGTGAGGTCAACAGGTGCGGTCGGTCTCAAGTTCCCAAGATCCAGGTGCCCCTTGATCCAGGTGCGTTCGGTTGACACAAGGTAGAGTCCGCCCAGATTCCCTCAGACATGTTCCAAGACTGCGCGAAGAAGAAGCATGATCTTTCGGAGAGGTGGTGATCTACTTACGGAGCAAGGGAGGGTGTCCTCGGTTTCACGGATTTGGGTTCCGACAGAGCTTGAAGAGCCTGAAGACTCTCCCATGAATACCCCACCATGTTCGGAGTCCATTTTCCACAAGAACCACCTCCACCGACGTTGACGGAGTCCGGGCACCTCCGGTCACAGGCCGCCAGATCGACCGTTTTGGGGCCGGAGCAGCAGGTGAAGAGGGGAAGGCGGCACCGCGGAACCCGATGAACAACTTCTTGGCCGAGGACTTAGAGGGCCAGGCTGTCCAAATGGTCCTTTCCTGCCTCCCTGGTGCCTCCCAGGCTGTCCAGTTTGGACCGCTCTTGGAGCGGTCCGGAGATGCCGAAGTAGGGTGTCCTGGGACACCCAGCCAGGATGGTCCAGCCAGGATGATCCAGCTAGGATGATCGTAGGAAGTTGGACCATCTGGTCCTGGGTTGGTGTTCTGGTCCCAACCTGGTATAGGTTCCTTCAGTCATGGCATTTAAGACCGACTAGTTGCGGGCGGATGTTGGAGGCAATCCCTGGCGACGGACATTCCTTGAAGGCGTCGACTTGGGGTGACGACCCGGGGCAGGTTTGCGGTGTGGCGGATGCCTTTTCATGGTGGAGGACATTGATCCCAAAGACCTATTCGAAGTGGTGGAAACGGCTGGTTGGTGGGGAGGAGACTCGTCCGGACGGGTAGTTGCTACTGTTGGGCAATGTGGGGCAACCTGTCATCCCACTTGGACGGTGCTCGTGCGTCTGTGCTGTGCTAAGTGTGGGGAAGACTCCCTGTAAGTCCAAGTACCATCTACCAGGGGCCTTCAAAAACTTCAAAACCATGAAACATAGAGGCTTCCACATACAAAAACATTATTTTTGCCAGGGAAAACCAGGTTTTTGATGGTTTGTGGGCCGCCTGGTACCAGGACCTTCCGAGTATCCGGTGATTTTTGGGACACCATATAATAGACACTTTGGGTCCACGTCTTGGACTTCATGCTTGGACGATCTCGGTTCCACCTCGGGAGACGGTTTGGGCGCAGGTGACCCCCGCTCCCATGGCGGGACCTGGCCACTGGACCCGTTTGGCGAAGTCGCTCCGTCTCGATTGCCCCCAAGGCACGGGTCCTGAAACCCTCGAACGAGCCCAACCAGGCGCGGCAGACTGAACCACCACGCGCCACCACGCGTCCGCGGAGGGAAGCAACCGTTTTTGGAGTGGTTGAAGGGGTGAAGGAGGCCAGGTGGTCAGGTGCCAGCAGTGAGGCTTCCTCATCGTCGTCGTGGAGATGAGCCAGTTGACCTCGAGTTGTTGAAAAACTATCCCTTGATCATCTAAGGGATAGATGTGTGCTATACATATAAGCACATCAGTTGATCTTGGGAGCTGATGATGTTAATTAATTCTCAGGGGGTCTGCGGCTTCTTGTCTTGGTGGACAATCAGCCTTCCCCAGCCAGGCAGAGGTGACTCCTGCACCCAGGCGGCCGCGACGCAGCGACGCCAAGCATGTTCTGCGAAGAAGAGACCACGTGGGCGGGCGAACCACGGAGAGTGGCGTTTCGCGCGGAGAGGGGCTCGCCGCCGTTCGTGTGGCGAGAGGGTCGTGTTTCCGTGACTGCGTGGCCTGTGATGTTTTTCTCGATCACTGGGGTCTTCCGTGCGAGTCATGCTCCCATGCATCGGTCGCGGCGCGCGAAGAAAGGCCGAAGTTCGGCACGGCTGACATCGATCTCTCGGCAGGCTTGGCTTACCACCGCCCACCGGCCCGCCCGCGGCTCTGGGCGGTCAGCCTGAGTTCGGGAGGCCCAGATGTGGGCGATCCCGAGCAGTCAGATGTGTTTGGAATTGGACCTCTATTGGATTTGGGAGATCTGATGGATTGGATGGATCTGGAGGATTTGATGGGATTGGTCCAAATGAATTTGTTTGGGATGGATCTGATGGATTGGATTTTGGATGATTTGGGATTGGTTTGTGGAAAAGCCTCCCAGAGGTCCCTCGGTCGCCAAAGATTTTGTCCAACAATGTAGACGGCTGATGAAGAAGGTTTTCCCCTGCATTTGGAGTGTAACTGCCTCCAGGCTTGGGAGGGTTTTATTAGATCAGGGCTTCTTTTACGGAGCCTTTTTTGTTTTTATATTTTGTCTTATTTTGTCCTTTTCAGATGCGCTTTTTGTTGCTTTGCTTTTGCTGTTTACTTTTGATTTGGTTGTTGTTTTTTGCTTTTGGTGCTTGTTTTTGTTTTTGTTGCCTTTGTTTTCTGCTTTTATTGCTTTGTTGCTTGGTGTTGCTCTCCGTAGATTTGAGTTGTGCCATGTACTCTGATTTCTGTTGCATTTGTTGCTTTGTCCTTTTGCCGATTTTGCTTCTGTTGCTGTTGTAGCAGACAGCATTTGTCAGGCGGATAGTCTGCCAATACATCTGCCCTGTCTTCTTCCGCATAGCCTCTCAGGG